TCATAGTTCATAGTAATATTTTCGATTAAAAATATTGCAAATAATACTTCGAATGAAACTCGTTCAGCTTCCAAAATCGCAATGTCGGTGATTTTTCATAATGCAATGCCATTAACATTGCGCGCGCCGCGAAGCGGTACGCGCATGCGTCGTCAGTGCGTGAAACAGGCTGATTTAGATCATTATCTTCGTAGAGCATAGGGGGATGCAACTTCTCGAAAAGCATGAGTAACTCTTCTTTTCGTAAGGATAGTCATTGTTGCATCAACTCCTAGACGTACTCAATCTACTGAGGATTTTTACATTATTAACAGAAAATCCGAGATTTGCCTACCATCTTTTACTATTGGAAATTATAATACAGGACGAAAAATTGGATACGTATTTTTTTATGTTGAGAAACGAATGCGAACTACGTTTGCACATTTTCAACACGTGAATGTTTCTAATATTTCTCCAATGGCATTCCACTTTTGCAGTTCATAATATTTTCAAATAACAATGTTGCATAAAATACTTCGAATAAAACTCATCAGCTTCCAAAATCACAGTTTCGGTGATTGACATAATGCAATGCCATTAACCTTGCGCGCGCCGCGAAGCGGTACGCGCATGCGTCGTTAATGCGTAGAACAGACTCATTTAGATCATTACTTTCATAGAGGAGTGGGGGGATGGGACTCCTAGCGAAGCACGGGTAACTCTTCAGCATAAGTGGTCGGAAGACCTGTACTGTATAATGCGTGTAGTACTGAATGTCGCGTGCTACATAAATTGGCTGGATTGCGACACACTGAATATATGCACAGGGACGAGAGAAATACTGAGATAGGTATCTATGGGCGGCTTATAAATCAGCCAACCGATCGTCCAGATATTGATCTTTTCCTTCAATATATATCCCCCTGTACTCTGTATGCATACGTTTTATTGTATGCAACCACAACTACGGATTATCTGACTCATGTTCCCTCATGATCTCACCCACAATAATTTTCTGCACTTAAAGCATTTATTTTCAAAGCGTAATGTATAGTGGAGTATTTTTTTTCAGAATTGTTTGGTCGGGTTTTTTTTACCGTCCATCTAGTTAATTCAGGTCTTTGAATTATGCAAGCTGACAGGTTGTTGACGGAGGCGTGGGACTGAAAAAAGTACGTGGAATAAAAGAATTATGAATGGGATAGGGGGAATGGAGGAATACATTTCTCAAAATAAATAAAAGTGAATGAAACGCCGGGGAGAATACGAGAACAGTAACTCATCTGTCGTCCAGCAAATGAGTTGAAAGCTCTCCGCGGGTAATTAATTGAAGTCGCGCGCATATCCACGTTCACGTGTGGGACTGTAAATTTAATGTAACGTGAAAGAGATGTGGTGGGTTTGAGTGAGGCTCGTGGTGCTACGCATTTTCTGCTTCTGAAGGTGCTTTCGGTGTTTAGTACTACTCGAATTATGTTGAATAGGCGATACTCCCGAATTAGCATTAAGCTCACTCAGGAAAATTTACGATTAATATGAGATGATTGTTCATTTATTATTAATTTGGACGAAATTGAAAGATTCATTCTTTTATTGTATTTAAGCATTTTTGAACAATTACAGTTCAATTTCCATAGATATTAGTTATTATAAAAATGAAACCATGTGAACTATAATATTTACAGATGTTGTGGTAGCTTCCCGGGTAGAAATCACCCCGTTCGAGCTCGGCTCGGAACCCGTATCCCAGCTAGAAATACGCCACTCCGCCCCAGCTTGGGATAAACTCCACGCGCGTCACATGTACCCGAGGTTGAGCCGCGTCACGCGCTCACAGCCCAGCGTTAGGCTATTACGCGAAACGCTTCGCCGGGCTTTAGTTGAATGGCCACTGCTCAACCTCAGGTTCATCTCCAATTACTCAATCCCAGTATACTTAACCTCAATAATGATTTGACAGGTCCGATGGCATCGTGATTTGAGCGAAAAAACAATCGAATAAATGTGAAGATGGCATGCTTTTTCAGATGAACAATCACAAGCTCATCAGAAATAACGTGATATTAACTAATCGAATGGGATTAATCTGAAAATACAAGGTAGAACAATTCACTGAAACGTAGTCAAAACTTTCTTTTTTCTCGCGAATACAACAAACAAAATCAAGAAAAATAATCACTTGAAAAACGTTAACGATCCTTTATTATTAATTATCAACGCTACAGGAGAGGATATTCTTCATTTTTCGATAGGCCTACGAGTTCTAAGAATATTCTATGATTTATTAGGGAAATGTTGAATACAGGTATGCCAAAATAACACGCATGACAAAATTCAACAGAAAACCCTAGCGCTTCCTATTAAATTTCTATTGGAATTCTATGAGAATTCTCTGGAAGTTCTATTAGAATTCTATTCGTTTCTTGCGCCGATTCTATAGGATATTATGCAACTTCATAGTCTTTTTGTTAAGGTAAAATTTGGTGCAAGAAAGTAAATAGGTTTTTATGTTCCTATAGATTTTCTTAGGCGTAAGATTTCTAAGTTTTTTCCGCTCGGTTTTTCTTGATTTTCCAAAGTATTCAAATTTTAAATCGATATTCTAAAAATGCATAAATATCATTCTATTCCACCCTCCACTCGAAACGACACGACTCAATCGGAGCTGAGTTCTAAGCGTTGAGCCACAGCTCAAACTCAAGTGCCGGGTTATGCCGTCTGATGAGCGTTCGACTGTGAGCCGGTATGGAGCGGCGTGTCGCGGCGTGAACTCGGGTCAAGCGGCAAGCCGAGGCTGAGCTCGCGCTCACCCGAGTTGCGGCTGAATCCCCGGTTGAATTTCTACCCGGGTTAGAACTATTAACAATCCACTTCAAATTTGTATAGAATATTTGACACGAAACTCGTTAATTATAACAAGACAGTTTTATCTAGTCTAATTAGGAATTCCCGTGCATGATGGGAAAAATTTTTGGTTCATGAGTTTTTGAAACACGATTTGTCTGGAATGATCGTACAGCGGGCATTGCCGCAGGACGTGATCGATGTTTTCTTCTTCATAACCGCATTTGCATAGCGACACTGCGATTATACCAATTCGTTCCAATGATTGTGCTAAACCATAGTGATCGGCTCTAGCCCTATTCACCTATGAAATAATTTCCCTGGGTAATTCTTTGCCCTTAAACAAGATTCATTCTTGTTTATGTAACTAACATCTGGGTGTAATTCAAGATTTATAGAATTTCCAACTGGATTTATTGTTTGAATTTGTTTAGTTGTGTTATTATTCTTTAGTTGTTTTGAATATAATTTGAGGCATTATTTGATGAAAAGACCGAGAGGCTTGTCATTTTAAGTTTGAATTTCCAGTGAAAACTAGCACGATAAATTGATTTAGTAACAATAATAGTTTGGAATACATTGACGCGGAATAAATGTTTGCTATAAATTTGAGTTGAATTGAGGTTGATTCACTTGAGTATTTATCGAGACCGAACAATTAATTTAAATTTTGGATAGATTGTAGGTTTTGATGCGTCCAATCTGACCGCTCAAAACGTGAAATATCCTTTTCATCACGCTGTGACGAAAAGTGAACTTTTCGGCACGCTCCGCGTGCCTAAAAGTCCAATATCCGCCACATTGTGATGAAATAGTATATTACGCACGAGTGTTNAACGCTGGTGGAATACAGGCGCACTCGGCACCGTTCGTCTACGACTCGGCCGCCTTCGGCACTTCTCCGCCTTAGCACGTAATATACTAGTTCGTAACTCGTGAAAAAATGTTTTTTAGCTCGTGGGATTATATGACTCGTCTTCGGCTCGTGATATAAACCTCCCACTCGCCAAAAAACACTTTTTTGCACTCGTTACGAAATATACTATTTCCCTTTGCGTATTGGGACGACAACCTTCAGGTAGTAGGACCCGGGTATCAGGGTCTCATCGCAGGAGCCTTTTCAAGTTTAGTGTTTTTAGCTATAAATTCCATGAAAAGAAGGATACGCTACAGGTTTTCTCTTGAGTTGGAAACGGTTAATACTCAAATGTAACATTTTGTGTTGATATTTAGTGGCTTTAGAACGGCAGATCCATGATATTCATTGGAAATGAACCATTTGGAACATTTCGTGAATACTTTCGAGCTAATTAATTAAATGTTCTGTTCTACGATGAAACACGAGTGGAAATTCAAATCAAGCTAGAATAAGAGATTGTTAAGAATCTTCTTTGTCAAAAGTTTTTTCAACGTTTATTGAACATCACAGGTTTCGTTCATATTAGAAAACATTTCAAGAATCGAAAGGAATTGGAAATCGACCGTTCGACAGAGATTAAAATGAGTAAAAATGAATTAATCAAAAATAGGAAGTCGACTTTCTGAGAAAGTTGAAACCTTTCATCATAAATAATTGATGAAAAATGAATGGTTTATCCCGGAAATTATCTCTTCAAATTTTTAATCAATTTATTCATATCCAGAATGTGCTCAGAGATTAATTGCATAAAAAAGTCGGTTGCTGGGAAATCAAAGAATTTCTATCATTTATGTATATGAAGAAGCCATCTTTAAAAAATAATAACACATTGAAATAAACAACGAAAATAATCTATGATTTTTTTTCTATTTCTCAAGCAATTTTATTTAAAAAATCAGTAGTGAAGTGATCAAACGGTTCAAGTGAATTCCATTCTAGCTCCAGTTCTCGATGAATATCTCAAATTCTAAAGTAGTTAGCGAAATTTTTCTAAAAATCTTTTTTGTAAAGAAAAATGAAGACTATCGAAAAAGATTTTACAAAATTTTACTGTTTTAAATTCCGAGTTATTTAACAAAAACTCAACTGGGAACTAAGTCGACTTAAACCGATTGACCACTTCACTACTGAAATGTTGATGCTTGAAATTGCGTCAGAAATTTATGTTGTTCGAGATATGAGAGGAAAATTACAACAAGATTTGTGGGCAAAAAAATTGATGCATAAGCTTCAAGAAGTTTTTCCTGAATTTCAGGTAGCAGGGAAGCAGCTTTTACATACGCCATAAGCTCAGCGGGAGTAACATACGCAATAACCGCAGCTTGTAGTCGTGGAAATATCACAGCGTGCGGTTGCGAACCTGCCGTAAGGTAAGCCGAAGACCCTCCTCTCTCACCTCCATTCACCACATTGTAATCCTTCAATTTCATGTAAACATTCGCGTTTCGAATTTCTTCAATTTTCCTTCTTCACTGTTTCGACGTCATAACCACAGTGCAATTCTCATTATTTTCAGGACGAGAAAATCACTACCACCGAATGGGTGGGAATGGGGAGGATGCAGTGCGGATGTAACATATGGAATGAAGTAAATACACCTTTATTAAAAAATTAGTTTTTCATTGGAGATTACACACGAAGAGAAATATGCAATAAAAATTACGTATCTTTTCCGTAATTCCGGAGCGAAATGTGGATGTAGGAAATGTTAAGGAACTGTCACGGAATTTTTCCGGAGCGTTCCGTAATTTTTATCTGAATCTCCTGTGAAAAATTACGATACCGTTACTTAAATTTCCTGAGTCGATTCCGTAGTCGGTAAGTGAATTGTGAGTTCCGTAATTTTTACTGAACATTTCTCTTCGTGCAGAAATAAAAAATTTTACAGCAAATTTCATCTAGTAATTCTTGAAATATCCAGTAACAATTGATTCTTATGAACTGTCAGGGGATATTTCCACGAAGAAATAAGTCAGCCCTGAAAAAATCAATGAACATTTAGATCCCGATTTAATAGAACATTAGGATTGAAAAAAAAGAATAACAACAAATTTTTCATTGATAATATGCTAGATTCGGGATTGAGTAGGCCTGCACGCATGACTCGTCCCACTCAGAATTCGCGAGGACTCGAATAATAATCGAAATAGTAAATACAAGTGACTGTAGATTTACTTTAAACCGTAATAACTGAAATTTTGGTTCCGTCAATCAGATAATAAACTGAAAATTCTACACGGAGAGAAATATTCAATAAAAATTACCAGAAAAAAGACGTAAAAATTACGTTTCGAAACGTAATCTGGGAGCAAAGTAAAATTCAATAAAAAGTGTCAATCGTCACGTAAATTCCACCATGTGTTCCATAAAAATTACTCATCCGTCCGACGTCTCATAGTTAGCCATGAGTCACTGTGAGGGGGAGATTTTAACAACACGTTCCGTAATTTTTCCGGAACTTTTCGTAAAAATTCTTAAACATCCAAGAATTTTCATGTTCTGAGGCATAATAAGTCTTGACGTTTCTGTTAGATTTTACAACTTCCAGAAAAATTACGTGACTTTTTCGTATTTTTTCGGTGACAGACCCGAAAATTTACTGAACGTTTCAGATTTATTCTCTTATATTCCTATAGAAATTCACTGAAAACGATTCTCGCTTGCGGATTACGTTAAATGTTCCGTAATTTTTCTTGAATATTTCTCTCCGTGTAGAGAAATGAATTTTTTTTTTAATTCAACCGGAATATTCTATTATTATTACTCGTTTTTGACGTGAATCGACACTTTTTACTGTTTATTCGTACTTTTAATTGAATTGAACGTAGTTTTCCCGCGGAGGTTGATGTTCTGGTGTTCGTGATGATCGTCATCCAAGGGGCTGGAGCTAGAAATAGAGGGATTGCCTCTCCCTCCGGCAGGGGTGCTAATTCTTGGAAAATAAAAGCGCGCCTCTCTCTCATTAGTAACTACACTGTTGAAAATTTTCGTCTGAATTTTCTATGCGAAATCCTGGAAATTTTTATCGTGTTTAATTTCCACTGAAATTTCAGGGAATATTGTCTTTGAAAAATGAAATATTCCATTAATTTTCGGTTCAAATCATCTGAAAATCATCAAAATACTTGATTTTTCAATTAAATTATTTCCTGAAAATTCCGACAAATCAGGTAAATTCAGGGAAAAATTGAAAATTTATGTCGTTTTGTTACTAAAGTTCACCGCGGTCTCCCCTTAAGTAGCGAAAAAAGCTGAATATTCTGAGGTTTATAATGAAGACAAACATACTCATGAGGTCATAAACGGGGTGAAATATTCTTCGATAGTTCTGTGAGGTTTGTCCGATACTTGAAAATCATTTACGACTCACTAAAACCTATGAATTTCCTTGACTTCTCAACATGAATCAAAAATTTGATGAACCACTTGGTCCTGAATTAAATATGAAGTTCCAATTTCAGAATTGAGATAAAAATGTCAGATTGATTTCTTGAAATTCTACCAACTAAATTAATAAACGGATGCTGTTTCAATATTAATCCTGGCAATCTCACAAAGTATTTTTAACGTTAGGTTCGCGCGTAGGTTTCTCGATGCCCGGGAAGTGGAGGGCGACGCTCGAAGTCTCATGAATCTCCACAACAACAAAGCCGGAAGAAAGGTGAGTCAACCGAATATTTTCAATCGCTAATAAATACTAGAATCATTGCATAACGGACAGCCGTTTATATTCATTCACCAGGAACCCCACGGACTCAGTCCAAATGACAAATTGATTCCCAACGATAATTTACCTTGAATTATAGAAAGTGCATGACAGTTTGATTCAGAAAGATTAGATAAGCTATCAATTCGTTGAAAGCACTTGCTGTTAAGATTTATCTTACATCCGGTTTTGCACATATATTCCGTCAATTAGTGGTCTGAAGTCATGAATGACAATTTGCTGCAATTTATCCAACGATTTTACTGGTTTTAGAATGTTCACATGATTTTCACCGCATGCGTAATGACAGGTGTAAAATCACTATGGAATATTCCTCTGAAATCCATTCATTCGGTATCAATAGTCAATATCGGTCACTACGCGTGTATTAAAGTCACGTAATGGCTCTGAGGGAATAGATCAAAAGTATAGGTTTTCTGGTGTTGTTTTTCTTCCCAATGGAAATATTGTAGAGGTTCAGATTTAATACAGAGAAAACAAAGTTTCGATTCTCAGTGACATCTTACGGATTTCGTTTGTATTTACCAATTAGAGTAGCGGCTTCATATAAGATACCTTAGGGATAGTAGGAGAGTGGAATTCCGGGAACCCCTATGCCCCCACTACGCGCGCCCATAGAGAGGAGAAAAATAGGAATCAGCGGGTCTCAAATGAGATACCTCGCTCGATGCACCCGATTTCAATGAAATTTTCATTTTTACTGAATGAATATCGATGACTAATCAATTTATGTGTTTTAATGTTTTGAATTTGTATCGCCCGCGTTCCCTTTTCTCTCTAAACATAACCCCGCGTGATAGAATGGCAGCTGATGTTGGGGGATTGTTGGTGGACTCGAGAATAATCACAGACGAAAAATTACGATTTTTCGATGGGATAAGTGAAAAAAAATCGATGTATGGTTCCATTACTTGAAAAAAGTGGTGTGACCCTTCCTTAAGGTCATTAGACCCTCATGATCACTTCGTTCGTCCCTCACGTTTGACCCTTAATACCGTTTGAGCCTTATAACTACTCTCTTCGCGTTGAAAAATGACCGGGGCCATAGGTATCTTATAAGAAGCCCACGGAACATAAACCTTCGGGAGGCGATAAAAGTGCCGAGAGTGGGGGTAGGTCTCAAGCGCGAGGTATCTTATAGAGAGGTATCTTCTAGGAAGCCTCTACTGTATAACTGATACTGCACGTATGAAAAAATCGTATAGAAATTTTCTATACGGATTGCGTAGAGAATTTCTATATGATATTCGGATATTTCTATACAGATATTTTTTATACTAATTATTTTTATACGTTTTTCTCTGGAGCTTTAGACATCTTTCGTATGAAAACAAAAATTTATGTAAAAATTTATATATAGAAATAATTCGTATAGAAAATATTCATATAGAAGTATCCGAATATCATGTACGGAAATCCTATAGAATTTTACTCCAGAAATGATTTTTGTGATATTAGGTCGATTTTCCTTTTAGTGTATAGTGAGCCAAAATTACGCAAAATCAATTACTGAAAACCCTAGTTGTCAGATACATCCATAGAGACATGACCGTAAAAACATAATTTCTTCCCGTTTCATAATATTCTAGACCATTTGCAATCAAAATTCGAAAATTGTAAAACAGGTACAAAAACAAGGCTTCTATTCGGACGCAAAAAACTAACTTTTTTTATCAACATTGCGAAACGTCATTTTTCAAGGGCATACATGACACCCTTAACTGCATCAAGGACAACAATTTTGACCACAGATTCAGATTTACCCTTTGCACGTCCAGGATCAGTGTCTCACCCTCCGATCGTGCAAATTTGCGAGGGGTACACTTCTCCCCTCAACAGAACATCGACTTTTTTGTCACGAATGGCCGAAACGAACAATAAACAAGGGGTCTCGAGGGAAGAATGACTACAGTTGTAACTGTTGGCACAATGTCCTTTTGGAATTGTTATTCTATTATTTCCAATGTTGACGCAATCTTGCTTGAAACCGAAGAGCGTACATTGTGGGTTTTATATTACATTTTTATTATGCTTTCTTTATAGCGCGAAAGAGGTTGACAATTCATTTATCCCACTCTTCTCGTTGGGAAGGTATGGGGTTCAATGGGATTCATATACAACACCATTAGCATATTATGATTCAATCATGCACGAAAAAATTTAATAGAACAACGTAACGAATTCGCTAGACAATTCTATTGGATTTTTACTGAACATTCTATTAGTTTTTGGCCGATTCTATATTGATATGTTCTATAGAAAAATACAATCGAATTTCATTTTTCTATGCAATTTATTCTATTCAGATATTTTCTATAGAATTTCCTCGCCTTAAATTGTCGAAGTTTTACTCATTCTAGACGGTTAAAAATTTTTCCTGAAATTTCCGGTACACTTTTTGGAAATTTTTATCGCATTTAATAACCACTGAAATTTTAAGGAATTTCGTCATTGAAAATTCAGAATTTCATGGAAAAATCAAAGAGAACTGTAAATTTCAGTTCTATATTTCCCTGAAAATAAATAGAAAACCAGAGAATTCCGGTAAATATATTCTGGAATTTTCAGGACAGTGACACTGAATGCGATTTAGGAGCAAAAAAAGATGAAAATTCAGATATCACTGAAAATTTAATGTAATTTGGCACTGAATATTCATAATTCTGGAATTTTACTGAATTTTCAGTGAAACCTGAAATTTCGTTATTTTTTTACCCCTAAATCGCATTCAGTGTGATTGTCCTGAAAATTAGTAGTCAACGGTCCACGAAATTTCATTTTTTTTCTAACAGTGTGGCTTTCTTTCCCTTTGAAAAATTTGAGCCGATTTTGAAGTTCCATATCAAATATCTCAATAGAATAACTGACATAGAAAAGTGGAATTCTATTGATTTTTTTTACAGAATATTGTTATTGAACATTTCATTATAATCGGCTACAAACTAAGAGGGAGTTCAATACAAATCCAATAAAATTCTCTAGCGAATTCACTAGGATTTTCCATGACATTTTTTCATACGTGAACACATCAAGGTGTAAGTGCACGGGTGAATAAAACGCATATAGAAATTTTCTATGCGGATTGCGTATAGTATTTCTATAGCATTTTCGTTTATGATATTCTCATATTTCTATACGGATATTTTTTATACAAATTATTTCTATACGATTTCTATAAGTTTGATCCTATACGACCCACTACCACATGTATAGAAACATTTCGTATGGAGTTGCGACATTTCTATACGTTTTTCTCTGGAGCGTTTCGACATCTTTCGTATGAAAATGAAAATTTATGTAAAAATTTATGTATAGAAATAATTCGTATAGAAAATATTCGTATAGAAATATCCGAATATCATGTACGGAAATCCTTTAGAATTTCTATACGCAATCCGTATAGAAAATTTTTATACGAAATGCATCTCACGAAATGAATTTCACAAATTTTTTAACATATCGAATTTTCTTCAAAATCTATTTAATGCAAAAAACAATCGAATCACATGAATTAAATTTAATTCATATGTAAGTGACAATTCTATTTTCCATATTCACTGATTGAATTCTTCAATCAAGTTACATTTTATGATTTGAAATTTGGAAATGTAAATTTGTGTTTCATACGTGTGGTGCGTATGCATAGCTGCTACGCCTTTTTGGCTGTACAACGACGAAATGGACTATTTTATTTTCATCTACATTTTATTCACTCTTGCATTCGATCAGTATCGGATTCAATAATATCGCTTATTCCAGATTGTAAAGTCATTGCTGCAAACAGAATGCAAGTGCCATGGGGTATCTGGTTCATGTACTGTGAGAACATGCTGGAGAACATTGCCTAGCTTTCGACAAATTGGTGATGCACTGATGAAAAAGTATTATCGCGCGAGGCCTGTGCTCGCTGTAACACCACCAGCACCGCCAACGACTCAGGTACATTAGCGCTGAACTAAATTTTTTTTTTTTTAATTCTTCAACTTCCCGATCTAGGGAAGTTATAGTAATTACCCCAAAAATCAATAATCGATTTTTTATCAAATGTTGACATTTCAAAATGTCCACATTCATTTTCACCCATTTTTAACACGATGTCCGTATGTGTGTGTGGGTGTATGTGCGTCGACGCGTGTGTCCTCAGAATTTTTTTTTATCGTTATTTTACATCGCTTCCACCCGGTTAGGGTATACTGCGATGATGATCAGGACTTTAAATGGTTAGATCGCACCATATTCTACCCGGCCGGGATTTGAACTCGGAACCTTTCGCATGTGAGGCAACAAACTTTTTTTTTAACCATATTTTTATTCAACAGTACAACAGGATATTTACGTTTATTCACAGATATTTACATAAAAAAACAGGTATATAAAAAAATTAATGTAGTATATTGGGTTTTTTTCTACAACTATGGTCACTTTGTAACTCGAGTTTTAACAGCGTATTAGTTGTTTATTGACGTTTCCATAACAGTTTATTGGATTTTATGCTCCATACGGTAGCATTTTGTGTTTGTTATTTTTCATGCGCCCCAAAAAAAAAGAAAAAGGATTTAAAAAAGAAAAAAAAAGTGAAGATAACTAATCTGGTCGTATTTATGGTGAAAAAAAAGACGCTCTTATAATTACGTGATATTGTGGGAGAAGATAATAGGATTTTTGGGAATATATAATATAAAAATCCTATTTCTTAATATATACCTTATCTTGTGGATTTATTTATGGTATAGACGGTGTGTTAAGTATCACAGTCTGTTACATCTTTTAATTATTTACTACTGAGTCATTTTTCAGTTCATCTTATTATTAAATTTTTCTTTTTTTTTTATACGTGGATAACTAATTAAGGTGGACGGAAATTGTTCTTGTGTACCCTATTTTGAGTTGTATTTCTATTTCTATTTTGTTCTTTATACGATCGTTCCCTGTTTGCTAATTTGTGGGGCAACGAACTTACCCAATGCGCCAAGGAACCGGGGTTACTGAAGTAAATATGAAGAACCTATATTAATCATTGAAGGAATTCTACCGGGTGAACTCTAAACTTCAATATTTTAGACAACTTTGAAGCACGAGGGGCATTCGGCTGGATTATTCCCTTCATCGAAATTTCCAACCAACAGGAATACAGTATTTGACATTTTTACGGGATAAACAACGATATTTTTATTCAAATTTAAAGTATTGCTGAACAAAATGACGAATGAGAGGAGAAAAATAATTTTTTCATCGATGAATTTGAGCAATTGAAAGTACAATTATTGTAAATGAATGTGGTGTCATCCGAAGAAGTGACGTTAGTAGTGTTTTGAGGGATGAGACTGGAAGACGTCGAAGCCGGTGATTGTTCATCGGAAATGCATGGTCCATCCATTCTCATCTTTTTTAGTAGAGAGCCGTGATTCAACATCCAGTTGCAAGTTGTTGTTAACAAAATTAAGTTCTGACGTTCTCACACTTCACGTGAACTTGAACAGATTACTACCGACTTCATTCGGGTTATCCGTTGTTTGTCGGTAATTCTGATTACCATGCAACGAATTGGGAATTACCGAAAAATTATCGAAATAATCCTACCCCCACTCCACGACAAAACGTCAAATACTGCATTTCTATTGGGTGGAAATTCTGTTGGGGAGAATAATCAGCTATAATACCCCAAGATCTTCAAAATTATCGGATATTTCCCGAATGTTTTGTTGCATAGCAACGAGAGGGATCAGTTTTGCAGATTAAAATCCCGATTTTAAGATTTTATTGCAAAGCTGATCCCGATCGTTGATATGCAGGAAAACTTGAAGGAAATATCCGATGAATTTTGAAGGTCGAGGGGTATTCGGAGGACAATTTCTTCAATTCTGATTTTGGCCGATCAGGGTGCAGTGTTCGTGGTTATGGGACACATTTCACCAAAATGTGAGGAATATCTGTCAAATTCGTAGAAAACAATTGACAGGCTACAGCGAAATTATCAGTCTGATAATTTCCCCGGCTGCAGGGAAATTATCAGTGTGAAACACGTCACGTGACTCCGAATACTGCACTCTGATTGGTCAAAATCAGAATTGAGGAAATTGTCATCGAAATTCCATTTCTTTCTAAAAAGCGAATGAATAATTTTTAATTCTTTTGTTACGCCAAATTTGCTTTTGTTTCGCTTATTGCATCTAGAGAAATGACGTCTTTGAATCCAATCCAAATCTTCATTTAAAATTTTTCTATTCATGTGAGTAATATGTTTTTTAAAAATTGATGAGCTCACATATTTATTTTAATGGAAATTTATTTATTTATTGTTTATAAAATTGATTATTTATCATGTATTGAATTTATTTATTTATACGGATTAAAATCATTTTTTTTGTGAATGTCCCCGAAGAAATTTTCCGCTGATGTAGATGAGAAAATATCCACATTATTCTATATAATGTGGATAATTAGTCCTCGTAAAATAGATGTATGAGGAGTAATTAATTTGAATTTGTCTTCATTCCTCCGATTTTCTGTGCAGAATCGTTCTCCCCTGGATATACTCGTGGGCGTTGGGCTCAATTTTAAATATGCTAATACGCTAGTGCATAATTTCGAATACACTGTCTTCAGACGTTTGAGTACTCTCTGCAAAAAGGGAATTCGCTTACTCGACAATAACTCATACCAATAAATTCATAGCACGTAGTTATAAATGCACTTAAACCGGTATTTCTTCATCATGTGGATCGAAAGAAATTACTCTAGCTCATATCCACCAACGCGATTTCTTTGTCTCTGCATGTACTATCTTCGTTTTCTTCTTCTGTTCATTGAAATCGAAGTGAACATGAAGATGAACTGAAACGATTCAGGAAGTAAAATTGAGAGAAAAACGACGTAATCACGAAATCACGAAACTAATTCCTTTAATCAGTAACTAGAGTAGACGCGCGCATCTCATTTAGTTGTGAGAAGCTTTCTTTTCTTCATTCAAATTTCAAATGTATTAAATTGCATTAAATACACTCATGAATGCATTATAAAAATGGATGATACATAGAAAGAAAAATTCAGTCAATTATAAATATGAGTGATGAGTGAAAAATTAATGAATAATTTTTTTTATTACTCAGAACGGACATTTTTGAATCACTTTTCAAAGTGACCCGATCAGTACTCGTAATTGTTGAAAAATACGTAAAGTGTTATGAATTACTTTTCTAGAAAAATCAACAATTTTCTTGAATTCAGAATTTCCAAAAATTTTCTAGAAAATGGAATAATTTTTTGAATTTTTCTCGAATGAAGTCCTTTATTTTTTTGTGTCCTTTACTTTTTTGTGATTTTCAATCGCTTTTTCTCTCAGTACAATGAAGTATAATTGACTTTGATCTTAGGAATCAGATTATGTGGACCAATCGGCCACCAGGGTAGTGCCGATTCTCGGCAATGATGCCAAGACTCAGGGAAACCCAGAGGATACCTCTAATAGCCAAATTGAGAGGGGCGGAGTGAAGAAATCGGGGAAACCCCGGAGGCCGCACTTGATTCTGAAACGATCCAAGGTCAATGGGGGTGCGGGTATGAGTCAGAAGAGGATACCTAAGCGAAGTGAACTCGTGTTTCTTCAGCAATCACCGAATTATTGCGAAGCTGATCTGGCCCAGGGGAGTCTTGGAACGGTGGGGAGAGCATGCAATCGCACAAGCAAAGGTGACGAATATTTTCATTTTCATAACTACTAGCGCCACCCCTGCTGCGGGCGGTCCATTTAAAATTAATTTGACTCTGGGTTGTCTTGAAATTTAGCTAGAGTTTTATTGCTTCAACTTGAAAGGTCAAAATTTAATTCTTGATTTTCAACCGTGAGGTAATATTTCAAAGATATGGAAAAAATTAGAAAGTCTACTGATTGAGACTTTAATAATGGTTGAAAAATTCCAGCTTTCCAAGGCATCAATATTAGTCACAAACAATCAATTTTCTACCTTGAAAATAATTTTTTCAATATCAGAAAATTTGTTCACGTACAGAATTTTATTCAAAATCTATTTAATGCAAAAAACAATTGAATCACATGAATTAAATTCAATTCATATGAAAGTGACAATTCTATTTTTCATATTCACTGATTGAATTCTTCAATAAAGTTACATTTTATGATTTGAAATTTGAAAATGTAAATTTGCTTCCCCATTTTTAACTGTGAATAAACATTTCACAAATTTGGAAAAAAATTAGAAGGTCCACTTCCTGAGAATGCTTTATAAAATGATTAAACAATTGCAGTTTTTCAAGACTCTAACCTTTTCCGTGAACAATTTCCCAACCTAAAAATCATTTTTTCGAAAGGGTAACAAATTTTTCAACATTCAGAATTTCATTCAAAATCTATTTCATACCAAAAATGAATTAAATTAGATCAGTTGAATTGGATACATATGAGCATAACAATTAAGTTTTTCATATTCACTGATTTAAACTTTCGATAACGTTACACTTCATGATTCGAACTCTGAAAAACTAAATTTGGTTCTCCATTTTTAATTAGGAGATCTTTTTCTGAGAGAGTTTGACAAAATGCAATTTTTCAAGACCTGTTGAAGATTGTTCCATAAATAATCGATTATAAATATTATAAATAAATAAATATAATATTAATATTATAGATATTTTTTTCGAAATCTCAATGAATTTCATGCAAGAAGAATCAACTAAACACGTATGAAGAAATTCAACAGAAAAACTTAGCGAGTTCGCTAGAAAAGTCTATTAGAATCCTCTAGAAATTCTATGGGGATTATATTAAAAATGTAGAGAATTCACGTTAAAAATAAATTTTATTTGTTTTTGTGCTGATTTTATGAGATATTGGATAGAAAAAAGTCACTAGATTTCAATTTTTCTATATGAATATTCTCTTGGACTCTTTTTTGTAAGAACTTGGGCATGAATTTTCCAAGTTTTTTTCACTCGGATCCTGTAATCCAAAACAAAAAATATACCGGAAAAAACTTGAGAAATCTGTGCCAAATAATTTTAATAGAAAAAAACTCAAGAGAAAAATTTAAGCACAAAAATCTAAATCTATTGACTTTTCCTTAACAAATATCTGATAGAATCTGCCCAAAAAACAATTAAAATTTTAACGAGATTTCCCTGCAATTTTAATAGAATCCCCATAGAATTTTTAGAAAATGTCAATAAAATTTTTAGTGAATGTACTAAAGTTTTCTATTAAATTTTTTCATACGTGAATGAATGAATGAAATTTAATCCACATGGACGTGACAATTCTGTTATTCGTGTTCACTGCTTCAATCCTTGAATTAAATTAGTACTTGAAAAATTGTAATTGAGGAATGTAATTATCATTCTCACCCAATTATTATTCTTTCCCAACAGGAACGGATGGATGTGACCTGATGTGCTGTGGTCGTGGCTACAATACCCACCAGTACACCCGAAATTGGCAATGCAGATGTAAATTTCACTGGTGTTGTCGTGTCCACTGCGACACGTGTACAGAACGTACAGAAGAATATACGTGCAAATAAATGGGAGAAGGAAGAAGGATAACCAATGGAGAAAAACAACTATTCAAGTCGAACAAAACGAAAGACTATTGAGACTCACAGTTATCTATATATTCTCCACCGTCCCCAGTGATTCGCGTTTATTCATCATTTATCATTAACCCGAATATGTACTTAAGAAATGTTGATTGGAAGAAGACTTGATAGTGCTTTCTATTCAGCATTCGAGTGGGCTGACGATTTCGTAATGATAGAATTTATTAAAAGCCGCCAGTTTACGCGCAAACGATGGATAGAAGGCACTGAAACATGACATTGTGGGCTGTACATTGGAAGCGATGATTTTCATAAAAATCAATTACTCAGTCGATTATGTACCTATTAATGAATTATAAATATCGTAAGAGCTATTTTTTAATGAATCACCAAGTGCCCTCCTCGGAACTTTTATATACGAATATAAATTATTATTTATTCAATTCGATAAATTATCACTTGTACTTAAACCACAAATGGATTTCCCTCCGCCATTAATAAAAAAGTATTGTAAAAAAAATTCTGAACCAATCTTTGACGCTTTTTATTTTCTCAACTCCTTGAAGGAGAATTTCAGTTCCAAAATTCTCAAAATTCCTGAACAATTGGATAAGTATTTCAATTTCTAGTATAGATCCTTATTCACGAATTATTCAGCTTTAAAACAGGTAATTGTACTAGTATTGCAATTAATTAGACTATTATATGAGTATAAAATTCTGTTAAATGAGATTTCTCTAACTTTGCTTTGTGATCCTCATTATTTCCAGCTGGGAATTCTGTATTCATTTTTATTTATTCAATTCGATAAATTATTACTTGTTTTCACAGAACAAGTGGATTTCCTTTTGCCATTGATAAAAAAGAATTGTAAAAAACATTTCCAAGCGAACAATTTTCGGAGCCTTTTATTATTTCAATTCCTTCAAAGAGAAATTCAGTTCTTAAATTTCCATAAATATATCAAATTTTATCTTCACGAATTATTCAGCCTTAGAACAGGTAATTGTGCTGTTATTGCAATTAATTAGACTATTATGAACATAAAAATCTTCAGAAAATCAGAGTTCTCATAATTGCCACCTTAGGACACGTATTGTATGTGGTCCATAAATCAGATCGTCCCCAGTATCTTCGTAGCCTCTAACTTTACCTTGTGGTCCTTATTATTCCCAGCTGGCAATTCTGTATTCATTTTTATTTATTCAATTCGATAAATTATTACTTGTTTTCACAGAACAAGTGGATTTCCTTTCGCCATTAATAAAAAAGAATTGTAAAAAACATTTCCAAGCGAACAATTTTCGGAGCCTTTTATTATTTCAATTCCTTCAAAGAGAAATTCAGTTCTTAAATTTCCATAAATATATCAAATTTTATCTTCACGAATTATTCAGCCTTAGAACAGGTAATTGTGCTGTTATTGCAATTAATTAGACTATTATGAACATAAAAATCTTCAGAAAATCAGAGTTCTCATAATTGCCAACTTAGGACACGTATTGGATATGGTCTATAAATCAGATCGTCCCCAGTATCTTCGTAGCTTCTAACTTTACCTTGTGGTCCTTATTATTCCCAGCTGGCAATTCTCTATTCATTTTTATTTATTCAATTCGATAAATTATTACTTGTTTTCACAGAACAAGTGAATTTCCTTTCGCCATTAATAAAAAAGAATTGTAAAAAATATTTCCAAGCGAACAATTTTCGGAGCCGTTTATTATTTCAATTCCTTCAAAGAGAAATTCAGTTCTTAAATTTCCATAAATATATCAAATTTTATCTTCACGAATTATTCAGCCTTAGAACAGGTAATTGTGCTGTTATTGCAATTAATTAGACTATTATGAACATAAAAATCTTCAGAAAATCAGAGTTCTCATAATTGCCATCTTAGGAGACGTATTGGATATGGTCCATAAATCAAATCGTCCCCAGTATCTTCGTAGCCTCTAACTTTACCTTGTGGTCCTTATTATTCCCAGCTGGCAATTCTGTATTCATTTTTATTTATTCAATTCGATAAATTATTACTTGTTTTCACAGAACAAGTGGATTTCCTTTCGCCATTAATAAAAAAGAATTGTAAAAAACATTTCCAAGCGAACAATTTTCGGAGCCTTTTATTATTTCAATTCCTTCAAAGAGAAATTCAGTTCTTAAATTTCCATAAATATATCAAATTTTATCTTCACGAATTATTCAGCCTTAAAACAGGTAATTGTGCTGTTATTGCAATTAATTAGACTATTATGAACATAAAAATCTTTAGAAAATCAGAGTTCTCATAATTGCCACCTTAGGACACGTATTGGATATGGTCCATAAATCAGATCGTCCCCAGTATCTTCGTAGCCTCTAACTTTGCCTTGTGGTCCTCATCATTCTTAGCTGGAAACTCCGCAGTCATTTTCAAGTATTTCAAGGCTTCATCCTTCTTCTGCAATTTCAAATATGTTTTTCCTAGGAATAAGAGATTGTGGCTGTAGAACAAGGGATCGATTCTCTCGGCAGTCTCGAAGTATTGCAGTGCTTCTTCGTACGAGGAGGAGGGGACTGTTGAGAATATAGCTGATGCTATTTTTCTCTGGTACCAAGGCATGTCTGCTACACCGAAACACCAGTTTCCCAGCATGTGGAGGATTGTAGCGTCCTTTGGATTCAACTCAGCAGCTTTCTGAAGTGGATAATACAATGATGTTAGAATCTTCATGTTCATTAATCAATTACGTAATGAAAAAACAAAACGAGGTAATTCAATTGCACTTAAAGATTTTTGTTTATTTCTGAGAATTTAAAAAGTAAGCGAAATTTAAAAAAAAAAAAAAAAATATTTTTTATGCCATAGGTGCCCAGAATCACGCGATTCTAACCTCGCTTCGCTCGGCAGAATCGCGGATTCTGGACCCTATGACATAAAATAGTTTTATGTCAAAAAACCCATTACGCACTTGTTGCGTAATATACTATTTAGAGCAAAAATGAATATATAATGACAAAAAAGTTGGAATGATTTAGTTGCTGTTTAATTTCAATCTTTCAAAATCAATATTTTCCATCAATAATCAATTTTCGCAAGAGAAATATCATTATTTTGAAATCGAAACAAATTGTTCCATATTAAAATTTCACCCAAAATTGATTTTATTTTAAAAAACATCAATTAAACTGAATAAATCGAATTTAATTCATATGAACATGACAATTCTACTTTTCATATTCACTGACTTAATTTTTTAGTAAAATCAGATTTTATAATTTGAAGTTTGGAAATTTGAATTTTATTTCCAATTTTGAACTGTGAAGAAACATTTAAAAAATCTAGGAAAAACTGGACGTTCTACTTCCTGAAGAAGCTGTAGAAAATGGTTGAAAATTTGCAGTTTTTCGTAACTTCAACCTTTTTCATAAACAATTTATTGTTATGATTTTAATGTTCACTAATCAATTTCATAATGAAAGAGAAAAACGAAATCATTCAATTCAATTTGAGAATTTTCTTAGAAACGTCTGAAAATATAAGTAAAAGGAAATGAAAATTTTGAAAAATTAGAAATTAAAAAATTGTATTGAAATAGAGGGATGTGCGTGAGAATCCCAAGGCTTTCGTTTTCTTTGATTCAGAGTATATACATATTAGAAAATCGTCATAGAGTTGAGTTAGATCTACTGAATTTGGACATTTGGAATTAGCTTTCTCACCAACATATGTTCTTTGCATGTTACTAAATTCTTAATCCTGGCTTTGATTCCTTCGTACTCGCTCTTGGTGTCTGAGAGAACTGCCATCCACTTGTGGACAGCCCAATGATTATCATCAATTTGCAGAGCTTCCGCGATGATCTCGTAGCCCTCGAAGACCATTCTCTTGGCTTCAACATCGCTAGCACTTTTCGAATGGTTGAAGAGGGCTCGACTCAGTCTCCATAGAATCTCGACATCTTTATTGTCCTTCAGAAGTAATAAAAATTGAGAGGAAATGATCTTATGAAATGGAGAGACATCGGTAGAAAAGTGTTGAAGGACAATAGTTGAAAAATTACATTTTTCCCACACCTGCGCGAAAAGTTCGTACTTCGCTTCATGATGAGAAGGAGGAAAATGAGTACTTTCCACCCTAGCGTGGAAAGTTGTTCCCTCGGGCGGAAAGTAATTAGTACTTGGATATGAATAAATTTGTTACGATTCCGAATAAATGATTTTTATGGTGGAAAATTAATTGTTTATAAATCATTTGTAGAAAATGCTTGTAATTTTCAAAAATTGCAATTTTTTAATCATTTCATCAATCAAAAAGAGGAAAGTACTGATTTTCCGTCCTTTAGCTGAAAGTAATCAGTAATTTCCTTTCTTGGAAACAACTTACCACCCTTGAGCGGAAAGCATTCACTTTCCCCCCGCTCATCGGAACGCAAAATACAAACTTTCCTTCGCAGGCGTGTTAAAAAATAGCATGTGCCCCTCGAGCAGGGAAAACATGACTTACCGCCCTTGGTGCACAATATACTATTATTTATCATCCGTTTATCTCGAAAAGAAAATGATTGAGGGGAAATTTTTCAATTGAACGTACTCGGTACTTGATGAGTAAATCATAAATCTTCTGATATTCTCCGCTTTCGAAAAGAGCGTCAGCCTTGGCGAGAAGAACTTTTTTTGTCGTAACAGATTCCTTGCTGTCGTCCTTTTTCGCTGAACCAAAGAACGCGAGTGATATCGTCGGAACTGACAGTAAACTCCTTTGCGTCCAACGTTTGTGAAACTATTCAAATGAGATAGGAGGTAGAATACTTTGATAAAATAGCAGATTCCCGAGTCGAATATCTGGACCTTATTCCCCCCTATTACCTCCTTAAGATATTTTTTCCTCCTTTATTCATCCTATACATCCTGAATAACTCCTTATATGATCCTGCCTCATCCTAAGGGCGTAAAAACCCTTCTCAACTGATATTTTTTTCCCCCTTCTCCTCCTGTCGAATGAAAAGGAATCATAAGTCCCCTGAATTAACCCTGATAGCCAGGATGATTGAGTAGCTCACTATTTTGTTGATTTCTGTTTGCGGTGAAAATTACTGAAATTCCCATCCTTATTTTTGACTGTCGTTTCTGACCGTTATTTTTGACCCTTATATATGACCCTTGAGTATGACCTTAATTTTCACCCGTATTAAAAATATTTAAAAAATACCTCGAAAGGGTTTGTAGGTTCTTTCCAGGAGGGATGGAGTGAAAAACATTTTAGGGGGTGCAGGCGATAAATAGGTTTAACACACCTGTTTTCCTCCTGAACCCTCGGAATTTGGAAATAACTCGCACGTTCAGGCGGAAACCAGGGGGTCTTTCTGAATGTAAATACACCCTAACTTCATCCTGGTCATCCTACTCATGATAGGTGTTCAAGGGGGAATTCAGGTCCTAATATTCGACTCGGGTTTCATCATTAGGTCTAAAAATTTCCTGACGAATGTGAGTTTATTATAATCACATTACATAAAATTGTAGATGTAATCTATTTTGTGTTTTGAGCAAAGCGAAATTAGGATCGCGGTTTATCGGGTCTAGTAACATAAAAAGGATTTTTACATCCAGAGAAAACCGGGTGAAATGTACTGTTGGCCTTTTTAGGAATATTCTTAACTAAAAAATGAATTCATCGATTGAGTCACAACTGAACTGACTGATCACGCACGAAAAAATTTGATAGAAAAACCTAGCGCATTTCCTAGACAATTCTATTGGATTTGTATTGAACTTTCTATCAATTTTTGGTTGATTCTATTGAAATATTTTTTTCTTTATTTTTTCTATAGAATATTTTTATGGAGCATTCCAATAGAAAGCCAATACAATGGTCTAGCGAATTCCCTAGGTTTTTCTGTGAAATTCTGCCATACGTGATACTTTTCATGAGAGAAATAATTCTCTTAATTCAGGAAATTATTCAATATTTCAGCTAAAAATTGTTCAACATTTTATTAAGAGAATTACTCTTGACATTTCGCCCGCAATTCGATGACTTGATAAAAGGTATAAAGAGTTCAGTTCGTCCCACTATTTCTTAATAATAAATCCTCAATTCTGCCCGAACTTTATAGATTGTTTTTTTACCAATACGTTTTTTAAAAATTCATTAAAGGGAGAGCCCTCGACTTTTGATATATCAGGAATCAAATAAATAATTTATTTCATGCGATTAGGGAATTTATTTCGAATTGATAAAATATATATTTCACCTCATTAAAATATTGTTCACTAAAGTAGGTGAAGTTGGAGTAATATGGACACTTTTGACTTTTTTTAAAATATTAGTGACGGGTTGAAATGTTGATGAAATTTAATCTTTTTTTTTCAATACAAAGAACAATTATTTCTCTTCGTGTTGAGCCTAAACTGAGCTCTATTGATACATTTGTTTCTGAGTTATGAATAATTTTAAAAAAGTCTACAGTGTCCATTTTACCCTACCCTCCCCTAAATATACGAATTTATTAATTTACGATAAAAATCTTGTTGAAATGAATAAAAAAATTCAAACAAAGATTATTTTTCTGGGTGTCTGTGTCCACTAGAAAATACACGAATTCTCTATGAAATCATCTTACAGGAGTTCCTGTACGAAAATTCAATATGTTTTCACACGCGTAAATATCGAATGAAATACCTTTGACGCCGCACTCATAACTTGCAGTGTCAACGTTCTCTGCGGAATTCGGCAAAGCCCCACCAGACGTAAAATTCGTTGAATCACCATAGTTGCAAAGTTTCAAACTGATGCACTCTAATGATTAATTAAGAATGACAATCGATATTCAATTGACAGGAAATGTCGACACTTGCTTAATTCCTAAAAGCAACAATTAAATTGAATCAACAATAATTCACAGATATTTTCTGAACTTTTCGAGACTCGATTGCTCCGACGATTGATCACCCATCGAAGCTCATTAATATTGAAATGTCACAATATTTTAATTATTACTGCACCACTCGAGTCCCCCGACTCGTAGTAACACACGATGAGACGTCAAATCAAACGTCAGCTATAGAACTTTACACCTTACGATGACACCGTTTATCAACAAGTTTTTTTGGTACTTCCTAGAATATGAGGGTCAGTTCTCATCAGCTGCGATTGTAAACACCAGTCGAACATAACCAAACATAACCAAAACAAGAATGGTGAGCATGAAGAGGATAACCTCGCGTTAGTTCCACGATCACTTCGAACATTATCATTTAATAATTGACAATAAGTCATTAAAAATGGGTGGGAATCTGCCGAAACCCGTTTATTGGGCAAGTGGAGTGGCAACATGTATGGCAGCAGGTTGCATAATAAAGTGAGTAATAATCAAAAGCCGGCATGTATTCCAATCCAATCATAACCCCTCCTACACTGAGAAAAACAAAGTTTTTTTGAGAAGGACGTCTTTACTTATAAGGTAAATGACCCTACGCTCGTCTAGCTAAGGTGAGCACATCATTGGTCCAATATTTCTATCGACATGAGCCTGAAGATGTGACCCTTTAATAAAAAATGCAGTGTAACGTTTTTTGAAGCCAATCCATTCGGCGTATTGTTTCATTCGATTCAGAAACGAATTTTTCTTAAATGATGATAGTATACATTAAAGACATTACAATAATACTTTATTATATTATATTCTATACTATACTATATTACAATATATTATGCATATTATTATTATCACTTTATTATGCACATTATGTATTATAATACATAGGGGAGGTTGGGGTAAAATGGACACTTTTGACTTTTTTTTAAATGTCAATGACGGGTTGAAATGATGATGATTTAATAATTTTTACTTCATTACAAAGAACGATTCTTTCCCTTTGTGATGAGCCTAAACTGAGCTGAATTGATAAATTTGTTTTCATTGCTCAAGCCCAAACAGGGCTCTTTTACCGACGGTAGTTAAGCATGAGAAGTAGGTCTTTTTACCGTTGAGCAGTATAAAAGTGAGAAATGCACTACTTAGGAGTGAAAAAGTGAGAATTGCACTCCTTAGGACTGAAAAACGTGTGGCGCCACCCCAGCGTTAATGTACCAAAATATAAAACTACATATAAAAACTGATAAATTCAGCCAGTGAATCCCCTTCATTATCTTCAAAATTGTTAAATTTTAAATTTGAAAATACACCTGAAAATTAAAATGAAAAATAAATTATTAAAAAATCTTAATTTTGATAATAATAATATTAGAAATATCATTTCATAGAAAATTTTTTATTGAAACTCTGAAATAAACTACAACGTAAACGCAAGAATAATACTCATAGTTTAAATAATAAAATCTAACAAAACAATCAGTTATGCCCATCTATCTCAACTAAGATCTCGAGATTCACTTATTTTCCTTATTTTCTTTATCAAATACTTTAAAATTTGAGCAATTGTAAAAATTGAGATTGATATTTGGATGGGAACGTAGAAGTTGATTCAACTGTAGATTTGGAGCAGGATCTGGTGAGACATCATGAAGTGGAATTGGTGAGATGTCGTTGATCACAGGTTGGGGAATACGATTACAGAGAGATGATGGTGATTTGTTGGCTTCTCTTGGAGTTGTTGTTCCCCGGCTGTGGCGGGGAAATTTAAATGCATTTGATTTTTTTTTTCTTTTGCAATTTGTTTTTTCTTCAGTGGGGGGGGGCTCCCCTGAAAAACTGTTGCTGCCTTTGTGAATAGGGTTTCGAGGGTATTGGCGCTACATTATTCCCTTTTTATTGGGTCTTTTTTTAGGTACCAGTATNAGGTTCGCTGGAATTGGGTGAAAGGGTCAAAGGAAGGGTTACGAGGGTTAGGTGCGGAAACCAGACATGAGGGTCACCAATGTACCAGAAAGATAAGTCAACTTATCCTTTTCCCATCGGTTCCACTTCGGAAGATAAGTCAATATATCTTCCAACAAGTTAATGCACTGCACTTATCTTTCGCACTTTTTCTTCATACTGGGGTCAATTTTTGTTTTTTCGCTAAATCCCTTCGTGGGTAGTAGCAGACCATTGTTGGGAAGCGATTTGGCCAAAAAACGCATTTTCGAAAAAAATGCACTTATCCTAGTTTACCAATTCACGACAGATTTATATATAGAAATAATTCGTATAGAAAATATTCGTATAGAAATATCCGAATATCATATACAAAATTCCTATAGAATTTCTAGACACAATCCATATAGAAAACTTCTATACGATTTTTTCATGTGGATCCCTATCCTCATCTCCTAATTTGATTGATGTGGAAAAGTTATATTCGAACTAATTACATCGTGAGTATCCTATTTTGTAATAAAACAGCATTAAAAAATATCTTGGGGCACAAAATTATATTTCCATTGGACAGTTCAATCTTCTAAATGATTTTTTCATCCGTTTAGTCCGTTACCAGCTGACAGTTGGTTGCAAAACGAGCGTAGGATCAATGCCATTTTCATTGTACCTATTCTTTTAATCGGCAATGTTTCAGTGAAATATCCGGATATTACGATAATTTATGCATTTTTATTAAATTTTAAACTATTCGAAACCTTCGTCAAGGGATTTTTAATCCCATTTTACTATTATAACGGAGATATCAGCGTTTTAAAATTGTGAGTTTCTTAACTTGTGGCTTAAGAATTGACTCTGTCGTAGCACGAGTTGATGTGAATGGGATTTTTCTCTCTTATTATTCAATAAATCACTCTTCATTGGTGTCTACAACTTTTATTATTAACTAAAATAATAACCCCAATCGTACTTCACTGATAATAGATTCTTGGGACTACCAAAATGATTAAAATGTGATAGCTGGCAGGATCTGAACGAACGTGCGGACAAAGACGAGCATAGGTACATTTACCTTATCAAGAAACTCGTCGCTTGAAATTTTTCAAGAGCAAAATATCTTGTGTTAAGAAAAAAAAAAACTTTTGTCAACAAATTTTGTAGGGTGACCAGGCCAATAGATAGACGGTTAAGGACAATTTGAGGTCCGTCAAGAGATCAAAAATTGATAAATCGCCTGAATACGCCAGCGATGGTTTCTATATTTGAAAAAATATATGAATTATAGGAAAATAATCAATTGTCCAAGCACCCAATAGATAGACTACTGACGGTGGGTTACCAATAGATAGACGGTCATATTTAATGGCTATTCTAACAAATTCATCCTTCTGCATGTTTAAATATTAAGAATGATCCTTTTCGATAATGATAATTGAACAGATACCGTGTTTTTTTCTCCTGATGACTTTCTTTTCATGCACTGAGAGAAAAACAAACACATTGTCAAACAAGTCTTGTTTGGGCCAACAAAATCGCTAGCTGAAAATTGCAAAAAAAAAATTTGTTTGGTTCGAATTTAAAAGTCTCAAACATGAGTAATTGTTCTGCTTTCGACAGCAACGAAATATTTGGCTCAAGAGGCGGGTAATCCACACTAGACAGTGCCTTTTCAGAATGAAAATATCTCATATAGAGGAAAATTTATCAACAAATATTTTAGCCCTAAGTTACAAGATTGCTATCATATCATTATTATTGTTTCATTTGAGGGTTCATTTCTTGTCTGTGATTATTAGACAGCCGAAACAAAAAACTACTATCCCTTGTTTCGCATAAAACAAAGATTTTTCGGGAGCAAAATACGTATGGGAGTATCGAATAACGAAGGAGTAGTGCTAGAAATGACATCTCTTGCGTGTACAGCGAATGCAATTTTTTTCGAACTACTAAATCTATTTTTGCGATAAAAGTTTTTCCTTCCGGCGCACTCTCTGCATGTTTGACACAAAAAATCCTTTTTTGATAATTCTCAAAAAAATATTTTCTTGGCACATGTAAGACTTGTTGAAAACTTTGTCGTTTTTCTCTCAGTGTATAGTTCCGTTAATACTGTGTGACTGTTGTCTATCTACTCACACCGCCATTGAGGGTCAATACTGAACCCCGCGAGAATTTGTTTTTTTTACGTTCAAAATGTTCATCAATAAAAGATAAGAAAATCATCGTATTAATCAAGTACCGCATCAAGTACCGCTATCGTTCAATCAAGTACCGCTAGCTACTGTTATTACTGCAATAACATTTTAGAGGAGGATGGGGAAATATGGACATCCGGGGTAAAATGGAGACTCAAAAAATTTACAAAAAACAAAATTTTGTTTTTTCAACATTCAAATTTTTGAAAATTGTTTCATTGGGCAATATGGACACCTGATAATCCATACAGAATGGATTAAAATAAACGCTCAAAAAATTTTCAATAATCGAATTTTTTTTTATTGATTCTTGTCAAAGTTCACAACCGAAAAATTATTCAAGTCCGGGGTAAAATGGACACCCGAAAAAGTTGGTCCTATTCAACTTTCAATCCAGAAAATTTTCAACAGACATTTTCCAACAGAATCGTCTCGGTATCTTCTTATAGAGAGAAGTTAGAGTTGAAAGCGAGATTAACAAATAAACTTCAACTCATGAATCAATGCTTGTAGAGACTTTATCGGGGGCAAAGAATATCTAGGAAACGAGAAATTGACAGATAAAGTTGTCATAGTGACCGGTGCCAATACAGGAATTGGAAAGGAAGTGACACGAGCGATGGCTAAGCGAGGAGCCAAAGTTGTCATGGCATGTAGAGATTTATTCAAGTGCGAATCGGTCAGTCTTTTTATTACATAAATAATCAATGATAATCGACGTAAATAAAACATTACAATTTCTGCAATCTCTAGACACGCCAAGAGATCGTTTTAGAAACCAGAAATAAATATGTGTACTGCAGACCCTGCGATCTAGCTTCGCAAAACAGCATTCGTGAATTCGTTAAAATATTCAAAAAAGGTAAAAGATTGTGTGGATTGCATGAAGAGTACACGGAGAGAAATATTCAGTAAAAATTACAGAACAATTCACGTAATCCGCAGTGGGGAATCGTTTTCCGGCAATTTTTATAGGAATGGAAGAGAAGAAATCTGAATCGTTCAGTGAATTTTTAGGTTCATCACCGAATAAAGTACGAAATAGTCACGTCATTTTTCCCGAAGAAGTAATATCTTACAGAAACTTCCTGATTTATTCTGCCTCCAAAATCAAAAATTCTTGAACGTTCAACAATTTTTATGAAGCTGGTGAGTTATTCATACGTTCCGTTCCGTAAAATTTCTCAATAGTTGGGGAAAAATTACGGAACGACCTGTTGTCTTCACATCGGTGAGTCATCATACGGGTGGTTAATTTTTACGGAACAAATCGTAGAATTTACGTGGCGATTCGTACTATTTCATTTCCGACTCACAGTTTTTATTGAATTTTTGTCTCCGTGTAGGAAGTAAGGAATCATGCATTGATTTTAATAGTATATTTCGTCATTAGGCCGAAAAAAACTGTTCTGGCGAATATGAGGTTTATGTAGGCACGAGCCGAAGGCGAGGGCTGCAATCATATTCGGCAGAAAAGTTTTTTTTGGCCGTATGACGAACAATATTTTTTGTCATGACGGCCGGAATGACAAAAAATATTCTCATAATTTTATAGAACACGATAAGCTCCACATTTTAATCAACAACGCTGGAGTGATGAGATGTCCGAAGAGTCTAACTGCAGATGGAATCGAGATGCAATTGGGAGTCAATCATATCGGACACTTTCTCTTAACTAATTTATTGTTAGATACTCTCAAATCATCAGCTCCTGCGAGGGTAGTTAACGTGTCCAGTGTTGCTCACTCTCGAGGAAAAATCAATGTCAACGATCTTAACAGCAATGAGGATTATGATTCTGCGGCTGCTTACGCACAGAGTAAATTGGCTAATGTGTTATTCACGAAGGAGCTTGCGAAGAGATTAAAAGGTTTGTGCCACAAATTGAAATTTAATGGAATTTAATGGATAACGAAAAAACTAGGGGACGAAGAATTATTTTAATTAGGTTGTTGCATAAAATTTATTTATTAGATGGGATATCATTTTGTAGGATTTTCCATTATTTATTGAAATAAACGTGCACTGAGGGAAAAAATTAGTTCGGCCGAAAATTATATGTTCCTCTGAAGAGATCTTTTGTGGTGTAAAATTAATTTACTTGTGGACGAAAAAAAAGTTTCCACCAAAACCTAATAGTTTTCGTAGTAGTTATTGTTCTCGCAAGACATTTATAGTGATTTTATTATTTAAACTTTGTACACAATTTTCAAAAATCTCAAAACGCTTCAAAAATTGCAAAAAAAAATTAGAAAGTTTACTTTTGGAGAAAGATTGATAAAATAATTGAGAAAGCAGTCATTTGTTCGAAATTCTAGTAAATTTATTCATATTCAGAATTTTACTAGAAATCGATTTTATGCCTAAAAATAAGGTTTCTGAAAGTTTAAACACTTTCAATTATTTATTTAGCAACAAAGAATGTTCAAGAAAATAATAATTCTGTGCAAAATGTAATTTGGATGACGCTGAATGTTTTTTTTTTTTCAAATTTTTCGGCAGAGTTAATTTTTTTTCTCAGTGTGCCCAATATTTTTCATCCAGTCTTCATATCTAACAATAGGAACACTTTCATCCAGAACCCCAGTTTTGTTTTGCATCTGATTAGAAAAATTGTAATGGAGAGTTTACGGGGGCGAGAGGGGCAAAATGAAACAGTGGAAAAATGAACTTTTGACGCAATTTAAGCGAAAAAAAAAATTTCACTTTCTTTTATTAACTTTTGTTTATTACATTTTTTTATTCTCGGGAGTACTGATGAGAATAATAATGAGAATAATAATAACTTTCTATTCAGTAGAATGGAAAATGATTGAAAAGTTCTGACGGGTGAAGATTTTATCAATGGATTGATTGACAAGAAAATGAAACATTAAAATTCAAAATCGAGAAGAAGGCCCAGGGGGAGACCCAGAGGGGGAACAAGATAAATGTAATGCTGAATGTCAATCGAATGAAAACGGAAAAGTGTAATCGGCCTAATCTAAGCAATTGAATTATATGACGAATAGAAAATTTTTATTCTCATCAGTACTCCCAGTAATGAAAAAAGTTGATAAACAAAAGTTGATGAAAAAAAATTTTATTCTGCTTGAATTGCGTCAAATAGTCGTTTTTCGGCTATTTCATTTTGCCCCACTCTCCCCTAGAAAAATAATTCAAAATTATATGAAATATATATTTCACTCATCAATTCCCTTCAGGGACTGGAGTAACAGTTAATGCAGTTCACCCAGGAATCGTTGACACTGAATTAATGCGCCACATGTCCTTCACCAATAGTTTCATTGCTTCGATAACTATAAAGCCTTTCTTTTGGCTATTCCTTAAAACTCCGAAGCAAGGAGCATCAACTGTTTTATACACAGCATTGGATCCATCATTAGATGATATTACAGGAGCATATTTCAGGTAATAAGAATTCAATATACGTATTGAATTCTACTGTAGTGAAATGTGACAACAGGGATAGCCATCGATCTTCCGATTCTTCAATATTAAAAGAATTTCCGACTTAAATTGATTAAGGGTGCCAAGTGAATTTGGCGATGACCTTGAAAATTGACATTCACCAACAAAGTTATAATTTTTTTAATTAATAGTATTAGACAGATGGTGAACATCGGTGACAATTTTAAAATTTTAGAACTTATGGATATCGAGAAATTAAATAAACAAAATCAGTCTTATACACGGCCTCTTATGGAGTTTTGATTAAATTGAACGTTCCAACCCCCTAGGAACTCAAGAAAAATTTGAAAAAATTTGAAGACATGGGGAATGATGTGTTCAATGTGATGAATTGATAATCTGAGTTTCCAATTGGTGGTGAATTAAATATTTAGTAATATGCACCTGTAAATTTTCTATTAAGTAAATAATATTAAAAAATGCTGCATCGTGTTTAATTTTATTCTTTTAGTAACTGCAAACAAACAGAAGAATCTGAAAACGCAAAGGACGAAAAGATGGCGGCTTGGTTGTGGCAGACCAGTGCAAAATGGACGAAGCTCAATACGACCTAGTGAACAAATTGTATTTACTGAAGTTGAGAAATTTATCGAGTGTTGTAATTTTAAATACATAAATATTGAATTTACAAATTTCTTTTTTTTTCAATTTTTTCCTTTGGGCGATTTACTCCGGTTCCGGAAAATCCACCTTTATGAATGGTTTTATCAGTTCGATTGACTTCTTGTACAGCTTTTCAGCAATGTCGTCTTCTAGGGCGTCTGCTGATGGATTTGTTATCTCACAATCGCTGGAAAGGAAGATGAGGCTCGAAATATTGCAAGCTAAAATGGAATTGATGATTTGTTTACCTCAGGTACTTCCCGGATTTCTCACTCAGTGAATTCGAAACAGCAGCGTAAACAGTCGTTTGAGATCCTTCGACAGGACTCTTCATCAGTAACCACATCCATGGCTGCATAATTAATTTAAGTAAATGAGCCTGGTTTATTGGCGAACTCCTCATGTGTCGTGTTCCCCGGACTAATCCAGGATTTACAGCATTTACAGTTACATTCGTCCCTGCAATTTTGTTTTCATGAATTGAGCTGTCTGGTAGAATGAACTATACGAAGACTATGCAAACCCAGAAAAAGGAATTGAATGAAGTTTATTTGAATAATACGAATTAAAGTTTTTATTCAAAATAAAAATTGTTCTGTATCTCAGGTTCTGTTTATATTAAATAAATAGTTTTCTTAGTATTAAGGATATCCGTGTTTTTTTTTACATCAATTTCAATCATCAAATTTGTCAATTAAATTTCATGAGAAAAATATTAATATTCAGCACCATTCAAATTATGTTTCGCACAGAATTATTATTTTTCAAACTTGTGTATAAATAAATATTTGAAATCGACTAAACTTTTGAAAACCTTATTTTTTTGGGCATGAAATCGATTTCCGGTAAAATTCTGAATGTGAATAAATTTGTTACGATCCGAATAAATAGTTTTTATGGTGGAAAACGGATTGTTTATAAATTATTCACTCAAAATGCTCGTAATTTTGGAAATCTGCAATTTTTCAATTATTTCATCAATCTTCCTCCAAAACTAAACATTCTAATTTTTTTTCAGATTTTTAAAATGTTTTCAAATGGTGCAATATCGACATTCAAATTCAGACCTACAAAGTTTAAACAATAAAATCATTGTAAAATGTTCGAAAACAATGAGACTCAAATTGAGACCAAATTGGGTCCAATGAGATGCAAATTGGGACTCAAAATTCTACTACAAAAATAGAAAAACATTTCACGGGAGAAAAAAGGCCAAACTACTTGCATATCCTTAAGGGGAGGTTCATCCCATATTTTTCATAATTAAGGAGCCAAAATTTGTAATCATATTTAAAAAATTATTTCGAAAAAAACTACATTTGACGATTTTTTGATTAGAAAAAATTGGAATCTCTGATTTTCAGCGGTCGGAGACGAATGTCACCTACAAAATCGGATTTCTGAGGAAAAATCACGCGGAAAATAGTGTTTTTATATTTTTTGTCTCAAAAAGCGCCAAAATTTTTTTCCCGAGGCGAACCTCCCCTTAATAAATGTTTATTAGATCCAAATAGATTCTTCATTAATAATCAATAAAAATCGTCCATCTCAGGAAAGTCTTCAAATGATCAGCACTAGATTTTTTTTTCTAATTTTTAACTGGCGATTTTTTTTGTTCAAACAAGACTTGTCTGAAAAAACTTCTTCTCTCATTGCACAATTTGAAATTATTCTTCAAACGTTTACCTTTAAGTAATTGACTCATATGCCTTGCCATCATGATCATTGCCAATTTGCTCTGTCCAAAAGCCTCACCGGCACTGAATTTCTCCTCTAAATTGAAATCATCAAGATGTATTTTGCTCGCTATATGAGCCTGGGCAGAAATATTAATGATTCGTCCTTGTTTAGCCGCTTTTAATTTCGGCAGGAGAAGTTGAGTCAGCAAGAAGTGTCCTGAAATGATTAATTTTACCATTGATTCCATTCTTCTCTCGATAATGATATGAGTTATTCCTCATTCAGAAACACACCTAAGTAATTGGTAACGAAATGCAATTCGAATCCCTCGTCAGTCTTTTTGTAAGGATGGAAGACAATTCCAGCGTTATTGATGAGAATATCCACCTCATTGACTTCTAAAGTAGAATACAAGTGGGAAATTGCTTTTATATTAACATAGCATAGTGTTTTTGCTAATAAATTAGCAATATGCTTCCGAATGGTCATTTTGCACATCATCTGCTTCTATATTGTATGAGGTGTTCTATGTCAAGCGAGTCACCGGCTGATCCTCACCCTCTTGGAAATTGATCTCGATTTTTTTTACAATTGAGGGGCTAGAAAGACTATCTCTCAATTTTTTTCAGATTTTTTCGACAGCCTATTTCGGAGATATGATTTTTTCTTAGTTTTTTTTGTAACTCGGTTTCTATTCAGCCGATTATTATTCATGACGCCTCAAAATTTCTCATTTTCTAACCATCTATAGGAAGATTATGGGAATTTTTTTTCAATCCCTAGGTGGCCATAATACCGAATTTTCAAAAAAAATTTGAATAACTTGAATTTTCAAAATTATGTGCACCTTTTATTTTTCTCATCTTTTTTTCAGTAACTTATAAATAAAAATAAGTATTTTACGCCGTCATACGAGTTGGCTTTCGTCCTGGATCTATTTTATTTTCAATTTTTTCTTCTCGAAATTCTGCGAATTTGGTCAAAACCCCCTAAAACGACTTCAATTATGTATCGAAAAAATATGTAACATATAAGTATGCATTTAAATTCACTTCATACTGTTTATAATCAAAGTTAATCAACGTCATTTTGGAGTATTTTGAACAAGTTTCTCACGTACATACCGACAGGGTTTAAAAATGACTTACTCGGACTTTTTGGATCATAATAGATTGATATAACACAAATAATCCGAAACTTAAATTTGAACGATTACAATGCTTCCATTCGGAAGCAAAAATGCCCACACGGAGGAAAAATATAATTCTGTCAATTAAATTTGTTTCAGACCAACAAATGCCCGACATTTCTATACAAAATCTCCCTATAAATTCTTGTCTGAGACATATTTGATTGGAAGAATTATATTTTTTTCTCAGTGCATGAAAATACTGAATTGTGTGCATCGTTTTATGAATGAAATAAAAATGAGATTTTTACCCAATTTCTCCGCGAATTCTCGCACACTCTTCAATGATGATAGATCGATTTTTCTCACGTCAACATTGGCATTTGGAATAACTCGAATTTTCTCAGCAACCGCTCTACCCAAGTTTTCATCTCTGACCGCTAGGATAATGTGGCCGCCTCGTCTCGCTAATTCAATAGCGATTTCTTTTCCAATCCCGCTGGATGCACCAGTTATCACTACTGTTTTACCGTCGATTCGTTCTTCACTCGGGCACTTCTGGCCCGCCATGTAATTTCTAAAAGTCCATTCACTTTATTTAATTAAAAAAAAGTGAATTATTCCTTTTTGCATGCAATCTTTCAAGTGATAAATTCTTTTTTTTATGAATTTTTATTTTGTTCAAAAAAATTTGATTGAAATTTCAATCCAATTTTTTTGAGATTTCATCAGAAATCAATTGCATGTTTTGTTAGTTTTTCTATCAGTCGCCGTTAGAAATTCAGCGAGTGCAATAAAAATACTTATGTTAAATTTGTCATATAATTAATTAGGAGATTCCAATGCTTCTATTTCAAAAAAGAGATTGACTCTTTTTTTAAATTTTTCCTATGGAAATTCCTAAGTATCAATTTCATAAGTTCATAAATTCAACCCCGGAGATTTTTATAGAAATAGTATCAACAATAGATTGTAATAAAAGTCTATTCACTTGTTCGGTCAAATATTTTTTATGAATGTTTCTATAGAATGTTTAGGGTCCGATTACCCCAATAATGATGGAAAACAGTTAAAGTAAAAATTTAATAGAAAAACCTATCGAATTCATTAGAAAATTCTATTGAATTTCTATTGAACTGTTCTATTAGTTTTTGGCCGATTCTATTGAAATGTTCAATAGAAAATATTCAGTAGAAAAAGTCAATAGAATTCAATTTTTCTATATATCTTATTCTATTGAAATGTTTTCTATAAAATTTCCGGCTCAATTTTTCCAAGTTTTTTCGTTTGATTTTCTTGATGAGAAGAATGGAAAAAATAGAATGAAAAAAACTTACAAAATTTGAGTCGAGCAAATTCTATAGAAAATATATGAAAAAAATAAGTTATATAGAAAGATCGAATTCTGTTGACTGTTTCTATTGAACGTTTTCCATTGAACATGTCAATAGAATCAGCCAAAAACTAATAGAAAGTTTAATAGAAATTCAATAGAATTTTCTAACGAGTTCAACAGGTTTTTCTATTAAATTTTTTCGTGCGTGTATCCTTAGGAAAATCCTCAGTTGAGTATCGGAGTAAATCAAACTAATTTGCCGATCAATTTTCATCGAAGTTATTTCATCAAAAAACATGGTGTGTCAATGTATCACCACTATTTGCCAATTCATTTTTTAAAGAATATTGAAATTCAATAGAATTGCAATGAAATTTTCTGAGGGGAGCGTTAGTTGTCCTATTAAATTTTTCCAGGTGTTTTTCATCATTAAAAAAATCGAATTCATCTCTTACCTTAAAGCAGTTATCACTCCTAATATCAAACCGATGATGTAAGGCCACCACGAGTCCATCATAGGGCCAAACTCCTCCATGACTTTGTGAAATTCTTTAATCGACATTTTTTGACAGTTCCAATGCGAGTGTTGGGATAAAATTTTGAGGATCTACGAAATCGGCGTCCGGAATAACAGAGCGGAGTTTGACTGGAGCTCCGGTCCGGTGGACGATGTATTTTGTTGAGGGGAAATACTATTAAGTGGTTTTGATTGACGATGGGTTTGGAAGTAGGGGTCCGGATGTGATGGCTGTCAACGACACGACGCTTGTTACCTAGAAACTGGCGTGTTCTTTTCTTTCATTAATCTTTTCGGTTTTGATTTTACTTCATTCCTTTCTTTTAATGCGGGGAGAACATTTCGAAATTTCGAACATTTCGAGTCAATTCGCAGTGCCGGATTCATTTACCGATATTTCTGAGCCCAATCACGTATTCTGGCAAGTTTGAAATAGTTCAACTGAAAAATCTAACACCTCTACGAAAATTCTAGTGAATGTCTGAAGAAATTCTATAAGATTTTTTCCAATTCTGTTCTAAGTTGCGCAATTTTACTGCGCGATTTTTAATAGATATTTTATTGATTTCAAATATTTATCATAATTTGTATTAATAACATTCGATACATTTATCAACAGAGTTTTTTAACAGAAAGTCTTCTGCCCAATTTTTTTAAGTTTCTTCCGCTATATTTTTTGTTGTTTCTCCGGGCAAAATAACGAAGAAATTCGAAAAATTTCCGCACGAAAATTCTTGTAAAAAATGACCATAGATAAATTGTATAAGAAGAAGAAGTTTATTAATCGCATATCTATTGAAAAATACACGGAGAAGTTGTATAATAATTTTCGATAGTAATTGACGAAAAAATAATTAGAATTTCCTATAGAATTCTCCACCCAAAGCGTTCGTTTTTCTATACTCAAACTTGTGATTACAAAGTTTTAAATATTGATTTTCCAAATGGTTCATATGGAGAAATACAGATTTCATACCTTCATTTTTTGGTCTTTATATTTTGCGAGATTTCCCGCATGAAAAAATTCAATAGAAAACCTAGCAAATTCGCTAGCGAATTCTATCGGGTTCCGACAAAATTTCTATTGGAATTCCATTGAAAAATTCTGCTTGTTTTTTGCGCTGATTCTCTTGTATATTTAATAGAAAAAACTCAATATATTTTGAATTTCTTTTCGCATTTTTCGTTTTAGATTTTTTCTATTAGAATTACTGGGTACAAATTTTTTCCACGGGATTTTGTTTTGTTTTGCATTACAGACTCCGAGTGGAAAAAACTTGGAAAATTGATACCCAAACATTCTTATAGAAAAACTCTCAAGGGAAAAATTCAAACAGAAATTCGAAATCTATTGACTTTTTCTTATCGAGTAAACAAAAAAACCAGCGCAAAAAACAAATAGAATTTTTTAATACAATTCCAATAGAAATCCGACAGGAACTCCATAGAATTCCTATAGAATTTCCGAGCAATTTCATACGTGTTTCGATGTCTTGCTGTTTCGCAATTCGTAAAGCGAAATAGCAAAACGCGCGAAAAGCGAATGAATTAGAAATTCGCCTTTACGAAGCATTTGATCCCATTGCGATTTGTTAACATTGTTTATTCACGAAGACATGACAGAAATATTTCAAATCGAATCGTAAACGCTGGATCGTTGGCATTCATGATTTCTAAAGTTTTAATGTCTAAACTTTCATAGTGAATAATTAAATCGAGAATTGTGATTAATGGAAAGAACATATCCCAGTGGCACCGGTGCTGGTTGTTAAAATACCCCTTTGCTCCATTTTAATTGTCCATTCCGAGCATTCTCCACACAGAATCGACATTTATCCACAATTTAAACGTCGCTATTATTATTACTGTAATGTATACATAATTGTCTAATTCATAAATTCGAAGAACTGTGGAAGATTCTGCTCTGAGAATCAGTAGTATCACCTTTAAGGTTAAGCTCGATGTAAGTACAGCCCATTGCATTCTTTTCTATTCCGTAAAAGCCGAAGTTTTATTTAACAAAAAAAAAATTCTGAAGTGAAAACTCTAAATAACTGAATATAACTTCAATTTCAGGAGGAAATTTTCCAAGAAAATATGTTAGCAAAATTAAATTGTATCATGACTCCACTTTTTTTCACACGCACGGAAAAATTTCATAGAAAAAACTTGCGCATTCGCTAGAAAATTGTATTGGATTTTTACAGGAATTTCATTGAACAATTCTGTAGCTTTTCTGCGCATTATTGAAGAAGAAAATGTTCAACAAAGAATATTTTAGAGAAAAAATTCATGGATTTTGATCTTTTTATGCAAATTCGGGAAAATGCGTTTACGGCTCTGAATCTCGCCTCTGAAATTAGCATCTCGATTTCAAGAGGAACACAACCTCAGGTACAGGAAAATTTTCAATTTCAATAAAAACGTTATTTCGTTCTATTCAAATGAACATTATTTAATTCATTTGATTTGATGATTTAAATTGAATTGAATCGAATCGCGCTGAATATCCATGATTTTTTCAAATTTTCCTCACGCAATTTAAGGGATTCCGGAGGGAAAATCACGTGGAAAATAGTATTTCCAAATTTTTTTTTCTCAAAAAACGAGAAAGTTTCTTTTCCCGGGGTGAATCTCCCCTTAATTGACAATTTGATGATTGAAAATGGCTGAATCTATAGTGACAAATAGTGTGGTCTGTACCAAACTGTAAAAGATACTTGGATATCCTTAAATTCGGAGATATTCCTCAAAAACTCAGCTAAGAGCTAAGTCGACATAAACAATGTAACCACTTTGATACTGAATTATTCCTATGAATTGCTTTCGTATATGTAATTAGGAAAGTTCGGACTTGTAACGAAATTCTGTAAAAATCTCAAATTTGGTCCGATAAATAAATGTGGGTGCTTCAATATTTCTGAAGAAGACTTGAATTCTCCAAGAACTACATTTACGATATTAATTGAAGAACACAATATCACAAGGGGATTCCCAAAGAGTTTTAGATACAACAATTGAACTGAAAAGGACCCAAAAGTTAGTCCCTATGGATTTCCGGGAAAAAATCTAAATGACTTAATTTATTGCATATCGAGGAAAACTCAATAACTTATTCTCATAAGTTATTGAGTTTTCCTATCCCCATCTGTCGTTGATGCAGGCAACAAAAACTGTTCGAATGGAATGAAAAATGATTTGTTAATGAATTGTTTGAATCAAATAAGAAAGGCTTTCACGAAATTTCCATTTTGTAGAGTTGAATATTGCAGAAACCACTAGTACAGCTAGTTACAATTGTTTTCAATATCTGGGGACTAGCATAAACATTATGTATGAAAAACATGGGGGCAGTCTTAAGAAAAAGGTATTTTCTAGGGAAATACCTTAACTGATAGTTCAGGAGATATTAATAAATTGATAAAGATAAAAAAAGATTCCCCTTCCAGGTCATCCGCCATGAAGATTCAGTACTCCTCACCCGACGGAACCGTCAAGAAACAAGTCATAACTCGTGGCTCAATTACGAATAAACCAATGGAGGGATCGATATGTCACCTGCACATTGAGAACCTGGAAGTACTCCCCGCAGACTCCCTCGACTTATCCACCCAACACAGCGAAATTCTGTCATGCAAGCCAGATGTTGTTATCACAGTGGACGAAGTATTGTCAGAGATCGATAATAAGATTGAAAGAGCGATCAAATGGATGGGTGAACACGAGGTAGCTTTAATCACCATAAGTCTTCCATCTCCCAACGACTCAATAACAATAAAATTCAAAGCAACATTGACGAAACATATACCAACGAAACCTATCTGGCTGTGGACCCCAGAAGAAAAATACCAGACAGCTCTGAAGTACAAAAACATGGCAGTATCACTGGTTCGTGACAACAGACTGAAAGACGCCTTCTACAGGTTTAGTAAAGCCTGCAAAATCATCATCTCCATGGAGCCCATTGAACCTGATCTAGAGCTCTCAGAAGAGATGAACAAGAAAATACGAGAGTTGAGGACGAGCCTCTACAACAACATGGCAATGTGTCAGCTGAAATACAATAATTACGAACATGCGATTGAGTTGTGCACTAAAGTACTTCAGAGGGACGAAAATAACGTGAAAGCTCTTTATCGGAGGGGCTGTTCTTATGGGGGCACTAGGAATAACGAAAAGGCGATCGAGGACTTGCAGAGAGCTATCGAACTAGAGCCTAACAACACTGCTGTCAGGGAGAAGTTGAGGATTTATAGTGAAAAGTGGAGATTGGCGAAGATTGAGGCTGATGATATGGTTAAACGAATGTTTAGAACTTGAATAATTTGTTTGGGAGGTGTGCATATGGTTGGGAATTTAACACCGAAGACCTTGAAATTCTATCATCCAAGCCACACGTTATCACAGATAAAGCATTGTCAGAGATCGATAATAAAATTGAAAGAGCGATCAAGAGGATGGGTGAACACGAGGTAGCTTTAATCACCATAAGTCTTCCATCTCCCAACGACTCAATAACAATAAAATTCAAAGCAACATTGACGAAACACATACCAACGAAACCTATCTGGCTGTGGACCCCAGAAGAAAAATACCAGACAGCTCTGAAGTACAAAAACATGGCAGTATCACTGGTTCGTGACAACAGACTGAAAGACGCCTTCTACAGGTTTAGTAAAGCCTGCAAAATCATCATCTCCATGGAGCCCATTGAACCTGATCTAGAGCTCTCAGAAGAGATGAACAAGAAAATACGAGAGTTGAGGACGAGCCTCTACAACAACATGGCAATGTGTCAGCTGAAATACAATAATTACGAACATGCGATTGAGTTGTGCACTAAAGTACTTCAGAGGGACGAAAATAACGTGAAAGCTCTTTATCGGAGGGGCTGTTCTTATGGGGGCACTAGGAATAACGAAAAGGCGATCGAGGACTTGCAGAGAGCTATCGAACTAGAGCCTAACAACACTGCTGTCAGGGAGAAGTTGAGGATTTATAGTGAAAAGTGGAGATTGGCGAAGATTGAGGCTGATGATATGGTTAAACGAATGTTTAGAACTTGAATAATTTGTTTGGGAGGTGTGCATATGGTTGGGAATTTAACACCGAAGACCTTGAAATTCTATCATCCAAGCCACACGTTATCACAGATAAAGCATTGTCAGAGATCGATAATAAAATTGAAAGAGCGATCAAGAGGATGGGTGAACACGAGGTAGCTTTAATCACCATAAGTCTTCCATCTCCCAACGACTCAATAACAATAAAATTCAAAGCAACATTGACGAAACACATACCAACGAAACCTATCTGGCTGTGGACCCCAGAAGAAAAATACCAGACAGCTCTGAAGTACAAAAACATGGCAGTATCACTGGTTCGTGACAACAGACTGAAAGACGCCTTCTACAGGTTTAGTAAAGCCTGCAAAATCATCATCTCCATGGAGCCCATTGAACCTGATCTAGAGCTCTCAGAAGAGATGAACAAGAAAATACGAGAGTTGAGGACGAGCCTCTACAACAACATGGCAATGTGTCAGCTGAAATACAATAATTACGAACATGCGATTGAGTTGTGCACTAAAGTACTTCAGAGGGACGAAAATAACGTGAAAGCTCTTTATCGGAGGGGCTGTTCTTATGGGGGCACTAGGAATAACGAAAAGGCGATCGAGGACTTGCAGAGAGCTATCGAACTAGAGCCTAACAACACTGCTGTCAGGGAGAAGTTGAGGATTTATAGTGAAAAGTGGAGATTGGCGAAGATTGAGGCTGATGATATGGTTAAACGAATGTTTAGAACTTGAATAATTTGTTTGGGAGGTGTGCATATGGTTGGGAATTTAACACCGAAGACCTTGAAATTCTATCATCCAAGCCACACGTTATCACAGATAAAGCATTGTCAGAGATCGATAATAAAATTGAAAGAGCGATCAAGAGGATGGGTGAACACGAGGTAGCTTTAATCACCATAAGTCTTCCATCTCCCAACGACTCAATAACAATAAAATTCAAAGCAACATTGACGAAACACATACCAACGAAACCTATCTGGCTGTGGACCCCAGAAGAAAAATACCAGACAGCTCTGAAGTACAAAAACATGGCAGTATCACTGGTTCGTGACAACAGACTGAAAGACGCCTTCTACAGGTTTAGTAAAGCCTGCAAAATCATCATCTCCATGGAGCCCATTGAACCTGATCTAGAGCTCTCAGAAGAGATGAACAAGAAAATACGAGAGTTGAGGACGAGCCTCTACAACAACATGGCAATGTGTCAGCTGAAATACAATAATTACGAACATGCGATTGAGTTGTGCACTAAAGTACTTCAGAGGGACGAAAATAACGTGAAAGCTCTTTATCGGAGGGGCTGTTCTTATGGGGGCACTAGGAATAACGAAAAGGCGATCGAGGACTTGCAGAGAGCTATCGAACTAGAGCCTAACAACACTGCTGTCAGGGAGAAGTTGAGGATTTATAGTGAAAAGTGGAGATTGGCGAAGATTGAGGCTGATGATATGGTTAAACGAATGTTTAGAACTTGAATAATTTGTTTGGGAGGTGTGCATATGGTTGGGAATTTAACACCGAAGACCTTGAAATTCTATCATCCAAGCCACACGTTATCACAGATAAAGCATTGTCAGAGATCGATAATAAAATTGAAAGAGCGATCAAGAGGATGGGTGAACACGAGGTAGCTTTAATCACCATAAGTCTTCCATCTCCCAACGACTCAATAACAATAAAATTCAAAGCAACATTGACGAAACACATACCAACGAAACCTATCTGGCTGTGGACCCCAGAAGAAAAATACCAGACAGCTCTGAAGTACAAAAACATGGCAGTATCACTGGTTCGTGACAACAGACTGAAAGACGCCTTCTACAGGTTTAGTAAAGCCTGCAAAATCATCATCTCCATGGAGCCCATTGAACCTGATCTAGAGCTCTCAGAAGAGATGAACAAGAAAATACGAGAGTTGAGGACGAGCCTCTACAACAACATGGCAATGTGTCAGCTGAAATACAATAATTACGAACATGCGATTGAGTTGTGCACTAAAGTACTTCAGAGGGACGAAAATAACGTGAAAGCTCTTTATCGGAGGGGCTGTTCTTATGGGGGCACTAGGAATAACGAAAAGGCGATCGAGGACTTGCAGAGAGCTATCGAACTAGAGCCTAACAACACTGCTGTCAGGGAGAAGTTGAGGATTTATAGTGAAAAGTGGAGATTGGCGAAGATTGAGGCTGATGATATGGTTAAACGAATGTTTAGAACTTGAATAATTTGTTTGGGAGGTGTGCATATGGTTGGGAATTTAACACCGAAGACCTTGAAATTCTATCATCCAAGCCACACGTTATCACAGATAAAGCATTGTCAGAGATCGATAATAAAATTGAAAGAGCGATCAAGAGGATGGGTGAACACGAGGTAGCTTTAATCACCATAAGTCTTCCATCTCCCAACGACTCAATAACAATAAAATTCAAAGCAACATTGACGAAACACATACCAACGAAACCTATCTGGCTGTGGACCCCAGAAGAAAAATACCAGACAGCTCTGAAGTACAAAAACATGGCAGTATCACTGGTTCGTGACAACAGACTGAAAGACGCCTTCTACAGGTTTAGTAAAGCCTGCAAAATCATCATCTCCATGGAGCCCATTGAACCTGATCTAGAGCTCTCAGAAGAGATGAACAAGAAAATACGAGAGTTGAGGACGAGCCTCTACAACAACATGGCAATGTGTCAGCTGAAATACAATAATTACGAACATGCGATTGAGTTGTGCACTAAAGTACTTCAGAGGGACGAAAATAACGTGAAAGCTCTTTATCGGAGGGGCTGTTCTTATGGGGGCACTAGGAATAACGAAAAGGCGATCGAGGACTTGCAGAGAGCTATCGAACTAGAGCCTAACAACACTGCTGTCAGGGAGAAGTTGAGGATTTATAGTGAAAAGTGGAGATTGGCGAAGATTGAGGCTGATGATATGGTTAAACGAATGTTTAGAACTTGAATAATTTGTTTGGGAGGTGTGCATATGGTTGGGAATTTAACACCGAAGACCTTGAAATTCTATCATCCAAGCCACACGTTATCACAGATAAAGCATTGTCAGAGATCGATAATAAAATTGAAAGAGCGATCAAGAGGATGGGTGAACACGAGGTAGCTTTAATCACCATAAGTCTTCCATCTCCCAACGACTCAATAACAATAAAATTCAAAGCAACATTGACGAAACACATACCAACGAAACCTATCTGGCTGTGGACCCCAGAAGAAAAATACCAGACAGCTCTGAAGTACAAAAACATGGCAGTATCACTGGTTCGTGACAACAGACTGAAAGACGCCTTCTACAGGTTTAGTAAAGCCTGCAAAATCATCATCTCCATGGAGCCCATTGAACCTGATCTAGAGCTCTCAGAAGAGATGAACAAGAAAATACGAGAGTTGAGGACGAGCCTCTACAACAACATGGCAATGTGTCAGCTGAAATACAATAATTACGAACATGCGATTGAGTTGTGCACTAAAGTACTTCAGAGGGACGAAAATAACGTGAAAGCTCTTTATCGGAGGGGCTGTTCTTATGGGGGCACTAGGAATAACGAAAAGGCGATCGAGGACTTGCAGAGAGCTATCGAACTAGAACCTAACAACACTGCTGTCAGGGAGAAGTTGAGGATTTATAGTGAAAAGTGGAGATTGGCGAAGATTGAGGCTGATGATATGGTTAAACGAATGTTTAGAACTTGAATAGTTTATTTGAGAGGATGGGGCAGTGTTCAGGACTTTCGGAATTTAATAGAATTCACGTAGTTTAGGAAAACTTCTTGGAAAGATTCGTCCCGTTTTCTCTGATTGAAAATGTAGACGTTTTATTGAGAATATAATTCAAAAAGGAAGTGCTGGGAGAAATCAGTAAATTCTCATGGAGAATTAGACTCTAGTAAATATTTCGGTGGTGAAAGGAGCCTACGAAATTTTCTCAAGTGGAATTATTCCAGCGATAGAAAAAAAATTTCAATATTCTTCATTATCTTCTTTCTTTATTAAAAATTCTGAGACGTGTCCGAGTCAAAGAATTAACATTTTTCATTTTTACTACGCATCCCTGTGAATGAATTTCATATGATTGGATAGATTAAAAATCACCTAATTTAGTAAACCTTTTGGAAAAATGTTTTTGCCTTTTTCTCTTGAAAATATAGAAACGAATTAAGATTGTAATAAAAAATTAAATAGTGCAGCGATAGAACTATTTGAGTCAATTGAATTTTTGCATACATTTTTTCGAAAAAAATTGGACACTTTTTTTTCTATTTCGAGAAAGATAAAAAATGAGCGAGTTATAAACGATTGAAAAAATCTGCATTATGACGTCACACATTACTTGAACTGTAAACAATTTTTCCATTTTTCATAATAAAAAAAAAGTATCAGATATTTCTTACTTCAGTCAAATAAATTCATGCAAAATTCCAATTGAAGCGGAAAAATTAGATTTTCAGAAACCCATATTTCCCCTAGATTCAGAGATATTCATTGAAGTCATTCTAAAGTTAACGTATCTCCGTACATAATTAAATTGTTATCACCTTCATTGTCATCCCTATGTAAATAAAACGCCATCGATGTTCAATAAATTCGTACAACTCAATTCATTAATATAAAAATACAGATTTATTGACTACCCATTTGCGACTTACACCACAGTTAAGATTTAAAACGTTTTACATATCTGCTTTTTTTCGAAATTATTTTTCATTTCTGCAACACGAAGAAAAATGATCAATATTGGATCTAGAACACCTGAATCCGGTAATAAATCCACTGAAAACCCCTAAACTTCGTTTTTGTTACCCTCGTGTTAATAGTTTTTACTATCCAACCGTATGCGATAAAATGAGCTTTAAACATTAAAAGTGAGCTGTTACATCATCCACTCAGAATGATCGTGAAAAAATTATCGTTACGAATAGAACATTGAACTTTAACACATCGATAAAACCATAATAAATCATATATTTAAGATCACATTCTACATTCTACCTGATGTTTCCTTTACAATTAAAGTCATCGACACATCAACGAATGCTAACACGAATGCGAAATAAACTTCAATTAATTGTGTGAAAGCTCTTTGAACCTTTCAACGGAAAGGAAGAAAGTACGAGATGAATAATATATTCCTCCATCAATAGAAAACAAACATTCTAAATAACGAAAAAAAACAACCAGATAACCAACAGTTGAATGGCACCCTGTGTTGATGCTGCATTTAAAAAATCAAAGAAAAATGATGCATTATTTTTCGTTATATGTATTACGTCCTAAAATCAATGGGAGAGTAGAGTTAACTCTTTTTTATTCCCCACATTTTACTATCAGAAAAAAAATCTTCGATTCTACAACTGAAAAGTCGAGGACCTCCTTAAATAATTGGCAAGATATCTTCCTCACCTCGATTATAGAGAAGTAAACAATAAAGTGAATTTCAACTCATTAAGATATTCGAAAGAAGTTGATTGTTCTGCTGTCAAGATGAACAATCAGTAATGTCTCATTATATTTAATTTTATCTTGCAACAGAATATAAACATGGCATGTAAAAAATGTTCCAATAAATTTACGGGACTTTTCAATGAGAAATAACTTAAAAATTCCTGAATGTAAATCTGGCACATTGTTAACATAATCATTAGAGTTACCTATGTACACAGTAACGCGATAAAACCCTCGTTTAGGTTTTTATGAAAATTCTGAAACAAGCGAACAATTCGTAGTAAATGCCGAAAAAATTTGTTCGTCTTTCGTTTTTTGAATTTCTAGAATTTTTCCAATTTTATCTCAATAAATTTTCAATTTTTCGGTGAGACTTTTTATTCCTATAACAATCTTAGTTAATGATGAGATAAATATTAATTTTCATCTTCTGATGCTTTTTTTCATCAATTTTTCTTTTGTTCAACAAATCTAACGCACTGATTCGTAATCAGGAAATACTGTACATAAATTCACAATAATATCTCCAATAAGAGGTTTAGTTACATTGTTCATATTTTAGCATTTGTTTTTTTATATAAAAAAGATCGCAACAATTTTCTTACATTTTTCCTTCCTCGAGCGACATGAAAATTTCGTTCAGTGTCCCGTAGATCATGCGATAATGTATGAATCAGAATTTGATGGATTTGAAGAAAATATATATTGAAAGTCGAATGTAATGAGGGATGGAGATTATTTTGTTTTTCGATTTACGATACTTTCGTCTTGCCATTTAGTGCAGTTGCATTCAATGTCGTATTTGTCGCTATTTCCGCCGCCTGGGCAACAGCTACAGATACTGATTTTTCGACGAACTGCTGATAAACCGGTTTCATGAGCTGAAAAGATATAAAATAGAATAGAATTATATTTTTTGTACGAGTAAAATAACAAAAATCAAGCACTTTGTTGAGAATCTATTGGAATTTAAGATGTGATTTTTTCTTTTTGATAATTGACCAGTGTTTCTGATGTTATATGAAATGGAAATTCGAATTTCCATGCCATTTTCTCGAATATAACTATTTTTTTATAGATAAAATAGACTTAAATACAAAATGTTGAATATTTAAAAATTTTTTGAAAATATTTTGTGCATTAAAAGAGAGTAGATTTATTGAAATTAAGAGAAAGGGCATTCACCGGAAATATTGGAGAAACATTACCTTCAACTTGTAATTGAAACTGTAATTTTTCAATAGAAATTTTTTGAAACTCACGATTTTATTATTTTGAAATGATTTTCAAACGTTGTTACTGTTATATCAATTTCAAATTTCAATTTTCGTGGAGTTTGTTCGAATTCAACTCAGTTTTTGGTGATAAAATCGATTGAAATGCGATATCACCTGATCACTATTGAATTTTTAAGTATTTTTTATAAATATTTTGTGCAATAAAAAAGATCACATGAACTGAATTTTAAAAAATTGTATCAATCCATCTAGAATATTGAAGAAACTTTACCTTCAAAGTATAATTGAAAATGCAATTTTTTGTATGACAAGATTACTTCATTATTAATTTAAAAATCAACTACATTATTAGAAATTGATTAGAACTTATGCCCCTCAATTTTTCCAAATAATTTACAAGCGTTTCTACTGTACTATTAAATTGGAATTTCATTTTTCGTGGATTTTTCTCGAATTCAATTGATTCTTTGATGATAAAATCCACTGAATTTCGTAAATAAATAAATATTCTGTACAATGAAACAGCAAATGAATTGAAATCACGAAAAAGGGCGTCAATTCACCTGAAATATCTTAAAAACTTTACCTTTAACGTGCCTTGATTCCGTAAAGCACTCTGGTTGGTCGTGGGATTAGAATAAAAAATTAAAACCACTTCAAGAGGACAAAAATCATAATCAAACAAACAAGAACTTAATAACTAAACAGTGTGATAAAATCATTCGAAACACGGGTAATAACTCGAACCGTAACATAAATGATGAATATATAAAGTGAGAGTGAAGCGTGGGATCAGATGTAACCATGTTTATGAAAGTGTGTGTAAACAATAGTGGTTGTTGGTAATGCTGCAAGGGTGAGTAGGGAGAGAAGTACGTAACGTAATTTATGTAGGAGATGAGCGCATTGCCAGGCCTGTTGAAAAAAGAAATAGAGAAAATAATATTACTGGATTCTCAATTCAGGATATTCTGTATTACTTATTGACTAATAGTAAGAATGTTTATCCAACATTGTGAGTACTCAGAAAAAATGAGGTTCTGTTTACTGACAGACAGTAATTTTTTTCATGTTGATAAAAATAATAGCCCACCAATCCAATTGACCATGTGCAAGCAAACAGGGGGCTACGCCCCCTGCCCGCTTCACTCGCCAACCTCCATATGACCTTCATGACCTTATTCTGACCCTTGTGACCCTTAATCGGGCCTTCGTAACCGTCATTATACCCCTCGTGACCCTTAATTTTGAATTCATAATTTCGAGCACCAAATTGTCATCACCAAAAGTCGATCTGCGTTGTTACAATATAGAGAGATATTGAAACCCTTATTTTGACCCTTGTGATCCTCATTTGGATCCTTAATCTGACCCTCATTATAACCCTCGTGAGCCTTATTTTGACCCTGATGACCCTTTGTTTCTGATCCTTGTGACCCTTCACCTGACCCTTGTGACGCTTATTTAAGCCCTTAATTTGACCCTTGTTACCCCTATTTGGACCTTTAATCTGACTCTTGTGACCCTTAATTTGACCCATTTAACTCTTAATCTGACCCTTGTGGGCCTTATTTCGACCCTCGTAGCCCTTATTCTGACCCTCGTGCCCCTTGATTTGACCCATGGGACCCATATTTCGACCCTCATGGACCTTATTCTGACTCTTGTGGCACTTATTCTGGCCCTCATGATCCTTGTGACCCTTAATTTATGAGTCTTAATTTCGAGTACCAAATTTTTATCATCAGAAGTCGATTTGGAATTTCGTAACATGGAGACATGAAATGAAATGACAAATTTTAAATGCCTTTTATTATTCCCGAATTTTCCGTTAGCCATTGGATTTAAGATATTTCTTTGCACGTTCTCCTCCATTATTATTTCTATTTTCAAAATCTTCTGCCGGATAAAATATCAATTAAAAATGCAAAATTTGTTCTTTACATTTTGTCAAACCTGTTGCAACGAATTTTTTTTGAACATAAAGAAATTAAGCTCAGAACATGGATGAACATCCTTATTTTTAATTGTTGTGAATATGTTACAATGATTAGTAAATGACTCGTATCTGATCCCTCAGCATGCAAGAATTTTAAAATGATTAAGAAATAAAATCTACTCACGTTTTCCCACATAGCACTGGCTAGATCGTCGATTTGTGTACCAATTTCCCTAAACTCTCCACTATATCTGAAAATTAATTGAAAAAGGGATTACAATCAACTCTGAATAATTCTACAACTTCGAGAAAAGAGAATTTAAGTTTAAAATGTATGCATTTCGTTATAAATCTGAATGGAATTTGAATCAATCGCTCAGAATGAAGAGCACAAATTTCCTTTTACTTTACTTTCCTTGCAACAGTTAAACATTCCTTCGTAAGCTTTCTTGATGACAAAGGACAACGAACCTTATGTAAGCCCACAGGACGAGCGTGAGGAGACTACTGCCCATGATGAGATTACAAATATTTGCGAGTGTGTAAAGTCCAACTAATCCAAATACACCGGAGAGTATATACGTCGTAACAGCAATAGCAAAGAATACTGCTGGTGTTCTTGCTGCTTTGAATATATTTTTGCTCTCGTTGTGGGCTTTGAATTGCAGGAAAGACTCATCCATATCCTAAAATAGAATAATTCGGTAATTGGCTGTCCTATTTTTGATAATAAATTAGCAATTTGCTTTCCAATAGACATTTTGCAAATCATTTTCTCATGGAGTATCGTTTCATATTTTGTAGTTAATAATTTAATTACGTTTTTTCATTAATCAGTCGTGGTAGAGTACATCTGCTACAGAAAATGGTATTAAAAAACTTTTTTTGTGCATAATTGAATGACTTTGAATCGTAATATTTGAATATATCGTTGACAAACAGATTTTAAAGAAATTGAATTTTTGAAAATCATTGTATAAATTGAAATAATAAATACTGCTATTGCTTTGAGCTTCGAACTTAGTCAAAGGGACATTCAAACAATTTTTCAAGCCATCATTGAATGGGTTTAAAACCTTGTTTTCCGAATAATGGTAGGACAACCGATTTTTTCTTAATGTTGAAAAATGAATATCTTAATTGAGTTGTAATTAATGTCCAAATTTGAGGAAGAAAATGATAAAGGATATGAAAGTGCTTTGGTTATTTTTTTTTGCAGTGAAATGTTTTTCTACTCTTGCAGTCGAACATCAGAGCATTTTTTTGAGCCCCATTTGACCGCAAATTTTCGGACATTTTACAAAGATTTCATTTAAAATTTGCAGGTCTGAATTTGAATCTCGATATTGAACCGTTAGAAAACATTTTAAAAATCTGGGAAAAATTAGTTTACTCGTGAAGGAAGATTGATGAAATAATTTGAAAATTACAATTTTTGCAAATTACGAGCATTTTCGATAAATGATTTATGAACAATTAATTATCCACCATAAAAATCATTTGTTCGAAATTGTAACAAATTTGTTCCTAAAAGAATGAGATTTTCAAAAGTTTAAATACTTTCAATTATTTATATGTAAACAACGAATGTTCAAAAATGTAATTTAAATAACGCTGAATATTCATGATTTTTTCCAAATTTGCTCACGCAATTTAATTGCCAAATTTAATGATTGAAAATGGTTGAATCTATAGGGTAGCTCGTACCAAGCTGTAAAAGCTCACTCTTCATTCTTCCGCTCACTCTTCATTCTCATCCATGCAAACACACCCAGGAAATAATCGGCAATGTCAAACTACTCGATTCAAAACCATCATTATAATAATTTTTAAAAAATCATCAGTACCTTCATGAGTTTTTCCATGTACGTCTGACTGAACTCATCCCCTCCCATTTTCCTCTTATTAACAAACTGATGTAGTGCCTTATCGACGCATCTCTGATGCTCCGACTCCAAGTGTGCAGTCGCCAAAAACGGCTTGGTACCACCACAAACGCACTCCATCATTTGCAAATACAGATCTTTAGCATCAGCAACAGCTGAGAGATTATTAGCCTCGGCAGTGGCGACGAGCATGCTCTTGGGCTCTGGCAATTCGTCCCCCTTATAAATTCTGATATAACTCTTGAAGTATTCCAGAAGTTCTCTAGCCCTCACCGTCTGTCCATTAATTTTCTTGGTGACCAAATTCTCAGGTGCCAAAAGAGTGGGGATGAGTACCCTCAACTGTTGTTTGAAATCAGATTCAATTTCCGCTAGTCTGCCATCGAATTTCGGATTCGTAGCGATTTTGAGACCTGGATGGGGCATCAAGAAGCAGGAGATATCAGAGAAGCAGGATTTAATGTGTTTCCTCAGGCTCTGGAGCTCTGGATGCTGTCGATCAGAGATCTCCAGGCGTCTCTGGAGGATCTTCTGACCACCGTCAGCACCATAATTTGCCTCGTACGGATAACTCCAGTCCCTCACCAAGAACTGTAGCCTCTGAAAGGGTGTGCTCCCTGATCTCTCCAGTGCCAATCTACCGTACTCGGTGAACAACTGCAGATGCTGCAAGTCGTCCTCCTGAATGTTCTGGGACAGATTGAATATTTGTACCGATGACAGCATTGTACTAAGAGCAAACACAGTTGCACAGTCTCTGACAGTTGATTGACTGTCGAATGCACCCTGTGTGTCCATCAAGATGACAGCAACTTTTTCGCCATTCTGGAGAGTTCCTGGGAATACTTTTGACCACATCAGAATGCCTGTTGTGTCTCTTTCAGAACCCCCACGCCACGAGAAACCACTCAAGGGCTCTTCGTCGCTGCCTAGCCATGAATCATCATCGATCTTGTGGAGGTACTAGAGCATAAAAATGGATTCAATGAAAGTATTTGAATAGTTCGTTTTAGTTTTTGTTGTTGCGTTTGATGATTAAATGTTTCAGTGAATGAGCTATTGTTCATTAAAAAAATTATGGGCAATATTTTGAGTCAAAAATGAGAACTCGAACATGGCGCATATCTCCAATGAATGAAGTAAGGGGATTTTCATGATGACAATCGTGTTGCGCTGAATTTTCATGAAGCCTGCTTAATAAACAGGAGAATTGAATACTATTCTATGGAACATGAATAAACAAATCATAATAGTCCAAATCATTTAGGTCAGAGGAAAATAGAATAATTCTACTTTCTTAATCTTGCGTTTACTAACGTTTTCTTCGAACAAATTTGATTAGAATTAGTAGCTGGAATTATGAGATTATCTCACATTTTCAACGTTAAGGATAAGAGAATTTGAATGCAATCTAGTGAAAATGATGATCGATTTCTTCCCTTTGAACAAATAATAATTTTATTTTTTATTTTGTTTTTCTTCTCGTATACCCTTTCGGGTCTTTACGATTTGTTCCCTTTCCACCCCCAACCCCCTGTACCACCGAAGGACAAGGGATAACCTCATTTGAGGGAAAAACCTACCCAGGTACAGTCGTCGCTTGCGAAACTCCCGCTCGACAATGAAACCGTGAAATTTAGAGTGTCACAAATTTTGGCCCCCCTAGCCGGGAATCGAACCCTGGTCTCCCTCATGCCAATCCCACACTCTAACCACACAGCCACCGCCGTCGGTACAAATAATATTAATATCTTCTGGAAAAGGCCTAGAGCCATACATCGAAATGAAATTATTATTATTATTGATAATATCCAAATTCAAAATTTCTGATATGAATAAAAAGAAGCTGTGACTCAATATTCCAAATTGAGTTTTAATTTATGATTTTGTGCTGAAAACATGAGATGACAATACTCTAAGCACGGAATAATATTGATGAGGTGAATAACAGATTAATTTAATTACCGTGTGAACTAATTGAAAATTGATATCAATGTGGGCTCGCATTTTTAGCATTTTTTTAGTATCAACAAACACTGAATTTCAGAAATTCATACTCTAGTGTGTTCTAAAAGGAATTGATTGTAATTATGATTTAAAACTCATTAAAGTGGTTCGTGTGAAAAATCAAAATAATGAAAAAAAATGGTAAAATTCGTGGGAGAAATGTCTGAGTATGCTGCATCATTGAAAATTTTTGCACATTTTTTTCAGATCTCAGTCTCAAGAAAAAAAATAATGAAATTTGATTACCCCACTCTCATTTAGGGAAATTTCCATGGCAGTCAAAAAAATAATGACCTATTAGGGAAAAACGAGTGGGTGATAAATCAAATCTTTCTTGAGAACACGTATAAGTTTCAGATTTTTTTCAGCTTTCATAAGAAAGTTATTTGAACAAATGATTCGGAAAATTATGAGTTTCGGGGCAATTACGCCTTCAAGCGCAGGCGCGTGATTCGAATGTCAGTGAGCATCATGAGAAAGGTATGGGTTGGACCATGGAACTGAGAGAGAGAAAACACTCGACAGGATAACCAACTCAAGACACATTTTGATATTATTTCAATAATTAGAAAAACATCCAATAAAAATGATTTGACACCAGTAGGTGATGTGAAAAAAATCAATCAATCTTATAAATAAAATCAATATTGAAAAAATTTTCAAATACACACTTAAATAGTTACTTGAAAATTAAAAAATTTCGTGCTCAGTGATTGAATCAGGGCTCGAGAACAATAAGACTCCCCGTCCGTTTCACCCCCCCCCCTTGTAGCGCCGCGCTACACCCACACTCACGTGTCAATACACGGACACAACAACGCGTGCCGTTGAGACGACTGGACATCAGTGACATCATCGCTCTCTGTCACTCAACCGTCTAATGTATACTTCTCACTCGCGCCTATTGTATTCGTATCCGAATTCTCGCCTTTTGCGAATATTATATTCAGTCCGGCACTGACCGCCGAATACTCAGGAGTGAACACCTACTCCTTACATTATCTATCTTCACCTTTTGTATGTAGTCTACGTCTTGTAAATATACTGTGATTGTTTTATAACTATCGCATTTGTTAGTGAATCGTTACATCCCTCAACAACCTCGATTCCTACACCCTCTCCCTTCCGGTGATCAACACATGAAACACCTTAACTGAGCATAGGAATTAGGATATGAGCAAATCAAATAATTTATTGTAATATGAAAATCTAGCAGCTGATAAATTGGGACATATGATTCTCATCAATCGTATTGCATTTTGCGATGAGAAGGATTATAAACTATCAATTGAAAAAAGAAATATCGTATCTGACAGAAAAAAGAGCGTAATGAAAAGGTATCAACACCGCGCTAGTTGGAAGAAATAATTGTTCATTATGACAGTGAGTGCTCACCTTGCTGTTCATATAACGCAGGAAAAAATCCAGAAGAAAACTCTTGCCTTTCCTGAAGGCACCGGCCACTGAGACAACGACGACACTGCGATCTTTGATGTCATCCTGGAGGAGAATTTCAGTGAGTGCTTCCTCGTCCAGCTCGAATGTATGATCTGGATGGGCTAGGATGACTTGGATGGGTCTCCCAGCGTCCACTAACTTCTCGGACTTTTCGGCCTTCTCAGTGGCCACATCCATCGAGGACAATCTTTCGATTCTCTCTTTGAATCCAGGATGATCTGAATAAAATTAATTTGTAGCTTTGATTTTTTTGAAATTTATGACATTCCGAGAATATTCTACATTTATTCGAAAGTATTAGTTAATTGTGAGTCATTTGGAGATGATTTTTTATGCATTTTTTTATATTTTTTCTTTCATTATATTCTTTCTTCATAATTTTTTTCATCATTATAAACAAAACGTCGATTGATTTGTATTTTCTCATATGAAAATTTTTCTGTCCAAACGCTAAGCAAGTTCAGAAGAGATATATATTCTCAAAGGTGAATGATAGGTTTAGGGCAATATTTCTCCCGTTAAGAATGTCTAAAATTAAATTGACTAAATAAATCATTCATGTTACAAATTATTTTTCTCATCAAATTAGAAGTGTTATGGCGTACTTTTCCGGTCTCAAAAACAATAATTAAAGAAAATGTTCATAAATAATGGGGGACTTGTGACTGCAGTGGTCCCAGTCGAATTTTGATCGGGCAACGTCGCACGCTTGGGCTAGTAGTGGGGTTGTAACAGTGAGATGAATGTTTGTGTGTGTCATACGTGTCCATATGCTTCCAGCACTGAATTATCGTCACGGACTTTACCGAACTCGATCAGCTGTTGTGTGGTGTTGTCGCGTTGCTCGACTCGTAATGGCGGTCAAATTTTTTTTAGAAGAATTCGAAAATCAATCGAAGATATCACGCCTATATGGCCCGGTCCCCTACTTGTTCTCGCCGGCAATAGATTCTCCATAGTCTAAAGTAAATGGCTTGTGGTTTTTTTTCAATATCTTGAGTGTCTAACCCATGCAACATCTCGATCAAAGTTCACACCGTCACGTTTCTTTCCTAAGCGTAATGTTACAAGAAGTGATTTTCAGAAATTAACTTCTCACTAGGATGCCCCGATGGAAGGATTAAGATTATTACTATCGTGTGGCTCAAATGTGAACCTGGCATATGAAACAATATCAAAATTATGGTGAATAATGTGGCTTCTTGCTAAACACCCTTAAAGATGAAAAACGCTTAGCCTTTATGAATTCGAAATCAATCATTGAAAATCTGTTAATTTTTTACATTACTCATTAAATAAAAAGGATTTGGATTGAAAATTGAATTTTAATATCAAAGTCATGCTCCACATTGACCATTATTTCTAGTAAGAAACTTTTGGATAATTTTTGTTCCAAATACAGCCCGCATACCTGAATGATTAAAGTTTCAAAATTAAACAAAAGTCTTTGCTTCTTCGTGAGAACGCGAAAAATTCGCGATCTTTTACGCTTACGCTCTAGAATCTCCCTGAATAATGAAGAAAGGTATAAACGAAGAAAAAGGGATAAAACTGAAGAAAAAGAAAATCACTCTAATAGGAGTACTAAATGCCGAGCAAGTTCGAAGGATGTCCAATTACGGTACGCGACTTTTCTAGGTAATAAAGCGCCCGTGTATCCAATCTGGCTCTCACATTGGAACGAATGCCTGGGCTACGATGAAGGTAAAACTCCATTTTTTTTTAGGTGGAGTTATACGCTTTTAGCGATTACGTTATTGCCAACGCGAGGGACCAATTGCACCGGATAACAGAGGATGTACCTCTGTCACTCGATCTTTCCTCTTTTTCCAGATGAACGCGAAGTGGGTGGGTACAGTCATAATTACTACGTCATCTCAGCATCAGAGATCGCGTAAAGATAATTGCGTCACTGCAGCACTTGCGATCTTACTTTATGGAGGGATGTAACGGCTGACTCGAACTGATTTAATTTTTATTCGAATGGACGTATCACGGGGAAAACAGGTAAATCTTGATAATTGCTGCTGTTGAACTGTGATGAAAGTGATTTTTATCGCGAATGTTTTTATTACAAAATAGTATATTTCATCACCCTGTGACGAAAAGTGAACTTTTCGGCACGCTTCGCGTGCCTAAAAGTCCAATTTCCGCCACATTGTGATGAAAAATATTGTTCGTAACTCGTGAAAAAATGTTTTTTAGCTCGTGGGATTATATCACTCGCCTTCGGCTTGTGATATAAACCTCCCACTCGCCACACTTTTTTGCACTCGTTACGAAATATACTATTCCACGAGTTACGAACAATATTTTTCATCACAATGAAAATTCACTTTTCGTCACAGCGTGATGAAAAAACTATTAAACGAATTAATTCAATTTTACTTGGTTTGAGAAATAGCTTTCTTGTCATCAAGAAATTCTCCTCGTCTTTAGGACAAGTGCAAAATTATTTGACGAAAGTTTTTATTTTCTTAGTGCAAGATATTTTACTCTTGAAAATTTTCAAATCAGAAGTTTCTTGATACAAGTAGACGTATTTCTCAAAAACCTTTGTTTTTGTCAGTGTAGGAAAAGTGATTTCAAAAGCACCGATTTCGTTTCAGTGCTGCACTGATGATTGATTCCTCATCATCGCCTTTTCAATACTTTCATCAATTAACACTCCATTGGTCACGCGGTTAGCACCGAGCCGCACAGCAATGATCGACATGATGATAAATTTGAAATATCTAGGAAACTTTTTTTTTGTTTTGTTTTTATTATATATTATTCCTCTCGCGTGCTACTAAAAAGGTTATGAGAAAAATTTTGCTATCTCCTTTAGATTACGAGATTTTCATCGAAAACTGGCCAATAGCGAAAATCGACATGAACCGTTTGGCCACTTCGCTACTAAATTCATCCCACAAATTCATCCCACGGCAGTTTTATCCCATTTTTTTATTATTACTGTTTGAATGAAGAATATGCTTGGGTGAAGCGTGTGACTTATCGAATTAATTTTCAAGTTTTATATTGATTTTGTAAATTGATGCTGTGGTCTATCTGGCGAATGTTAGTTGAGATGGATAAGAATGATTTGACCATTTTTTTGCAATGTTTCCTGTTAATCCGCTGATCAGTTGGATAAACAATATTATTAATACTATTATTATTATTATTAATACTAGGAGGGAATTGTGAAGTATCTGATTGATTGTGATGTTGTGTTTAGTGCCTTTTTCTGTGAAAATAAAGTTAATATTTTTCTCTCCCTGAATTATTGTTGTGACCGTGAAAAATTCCATTGGAATTTGATGTTTGGGATGAAATTGTGGTGGGATTGATTTGTTTTTGGGGTGAATTGGTTTGGGATGAGTAGTTCGGGATGAATCCACCTAGAACCATATTTTTGGCTGAAATTTTCATCGATACGCAGTAAAGAATTCGGTGTTACTGTCTCTGGTGTGAGAAGTTAAACGTTCCTTTGCTAAAATTAACTCTTTCGCCCGGAGTAAATTTTTATTTTTTACACCAAACTGTGTTAATTAATATGTTCATTTTGACACCATGGCAGTGTCAATTTTCACTCCACTCGCTGTATTTCACTCCGGAATAAACTAACGCCGTACATTCACATCGAAAAACGGTGTGGACTCAGAGTCGAAATCCAAAATGTGATGTCAATTTTTTTTAATTTCCCCCGCGGCGTGACCTCAGTGTCATTAATAAAATGGGAAAAAGTGCGGCGCGGCGCTCATACCGCGACCAACTGAGTGTTAAAAATGATCGTCAGCTCTGAAGTTTGTCCATAGCATTTTTCAAAGTTGCGTTCAACTAAATTTTTGTTCCTATGAAACTCAAAACAAAAGCATTCATAAAATGTTCATCACATGTAATTGAACCACTCACCGACTTTATGGGGCTGTCTACTCTCTGGTACACGATTAACGTTTTCATCAAGCAACGTCATTGGAGGTTTCGTAGCTGCAATTAGAGGGTTTTTATTTAAACTCATTAGAGCCAGAATCATGTCCATTACAGAGATCGTTCGAGACGATTCAACCGGATATTTTTAGGAGTCATGGGTCTGGTGACATTCTTGCTACTTCCAACACTAAAGCACTGACATTGGAATTTATTATCCCATTTTCGTGTCATTCATTCTGGAACTACATGGTCAGCGTGGTTACAGGGTAATCATATCAGGGAAAAAAAAATCTATAAATGAGACTAAATCGAAAATAGGCTGAAACACACCACGAGCCACCATTCCAAATCCGTCCGGTAATCTCTGCCGAGTCCGTCTGTCTGAAGGCCTCTCGGGGCGAGGACTGTGCCTGATTCTCTTCCTTTGTTCACTCATATCGACCTCTCTCAATTAACATCTGCTCGAACGTACAATGAGACTTTTCATCGGATTATGAAAATTTAATAAGAATTTATCAATGCTCAGACGCGGGAGAACACGCAGCGACTACTAAGGGTAAAAGTAAATGTAGATTTTCCGTTATAGGTGGATTGCAGCGCCACAAAAATGCCTGGCAGACGTGGGAAAATAGTTGGAACGAGAGGTCTGGGTTGGCAAAGATCCACGATATTTGGCGGAATGAGCGCATTCATCAGACAGATAGTTTTGTCATCAGTGTATTACCTAAATTTAATTATTTTGTTTTTCGACAAGTGTTCGTGTGATTGATTTCTTCATTGTGGGCAGAGAAGAAAGGAATTTTGCTACACAAGGAATTATCTCTATTGTTTAGGAACTTGATCTTAACTTGAAGTGTCTTAACGATAGGGAATTTTCTTAATGAAATGTGAAAAAGAATTTCTAAAAGAAGTGATAGGTCTCTGAATCTGAATACCAAAGCTGTCGTCCGATATCCGAAGAACATTAGGGTGAACAGTCCAATTGCGGACCCCCCCCCCCTAATTAACTGAACACTTGAATATTTTATCAGATTTCTGGAATATGTACCTATCTATCGAATCAATTTTGTAAAAAATCAAGTCGATATTTCCATCTATACACCCAAAAAAAATTACTTCTCACCAGAACAAACCGGTACTTGGGGGAAGTTCACTTTTGAAAAGTACTAAAAATACTCGTTCCAAGTACATTTTGTGTCCTTGGGTGAAGTACCACATCTGCCGATCGAGCAGACATGGTACTCGGAGGAAGTATTATCATTACTTATTGCCAGCACTTTTAGTACTTTTCACAAGTACCAAAGGTACTAGTGAAAAGTAAAGTTTCAACTTTTCTCAAGTACTTTTAGAACTTAATTTCAGTATTTTCAATTGATTATTTTATTGAAAAAAAGTGAGTATTATTACCGGATAGAATGGGCTTTCCCACGCATTTTTGTAAATAGAAATGTTCAGCAGAAGATATTTTGTAGGAAAAAATCAATAGATTGCGATTTTTATGGATGCTTTCGAGAATTATTATGCTTTTCAACCTACAAAATTTCAATTTTGTTGAGATTTTTATGTTTTATGTTGTTATCAACATTTAAAAGGCTTCGAAAAATTATTTTCAATTTCTTTTAAATTTTGTTACTCACAAAACGGGAATTATTTGGATTTTTAAATTTTTGACATTTGGTCTTTAGAAAAAGTAATACTCAACTTATATTGAGTTTATTTGGTACTTTTGAAAAGAACCAGCCAGGTACTCAGTACAAGCAATGTTTTTACTTGTCCCAAGTAACAAAATACATGTGACAAGTACTGAGGTACTTTTCACCAGTACATAGGTACTTGACGCAAGATCCTTGCATCAAGTTGTTTTGTACCTTCGAGGAAGTACAAAAATGTGCCTTTTCCCCAGAAACCCCTTGGTACTGGGTACAAGTATTTTTTCTACTGATCAAAAGTAATTTTTTTTTTGTGTATGATATGAGAATATATATTTGGTAGTCTATCTGCTGTTTCCCGCTCAATAATGGAAATAAACCCTGCCAGCTGCCATTTTCAGACATTTTGCGACAAGTGAATAGTTAGATGTGACAGTGTGACCGCTAATGTGCCGAAGGAAGTTACTTATGTCATGAAGACTAGAATTTCTCAACTTACTTGAATTTGCAATGAGGAAATAAATATTCAGTACCGATTGAAATGCATTGCAAATTTAAGGATATATTTATCTGAATTTTGCTGAATTCTATCAATTTTCATGGAATAATGAAACTGAAATTTACATTTTCCATTCATTTTTTCATCAATTCGTCAATTTTTAATGATGAAACTCGTTGAAATTTCATTGGAACTGTCACTTGATAACAATTTCCAGGAAATGTAGAAGGGTTTAGGACCACAAAATTTTGAACAGTGTAAGAGAAATGTTGGTAAATTTCAATGGGATGATTCGAAAGTAAAAAAAAGGCTGAGGAAAATTAGAGACAGCAACATTTGTCTTTAGGAGCTTCACTTTTTCAATTTCTCAACCGCGGTTTTTAACTTCCCGATAAGGAAAGTTATTACAATCTTTTGTTTTTAAATTAGGATTGTTTCCCTGAAGTCTTCAACTTTTTCTCTCTGTTTGCAGTATCTTTCCCCGTTTTACCCAAAAAACTGCAATTTCATTAACGTAAAGTTCTTCTGTGAAACCTTATATTCTCAAAGATAAACGCTTGTAAGATTCTTCCGCTTTGTGATAGTCCAAGGGACGCTAGAGAGAGAATTGTAGAGAAGACCCGCAGAGAATTATTGAGCATATTGGAAAACTTCCGCATATAAGGGATAATACAATTCCTAGAATGGACTGAATGAAGTTTAATTGGAGTAGACGACTTGGATTTCTAGTCGAGTGATGCCATAACAGGTGGAATGAGATTCATCTCGAGAAGTTTGACTATAATTTCTGATTCACTTCAGACTGTTACGAGAATGGCGATGACTACACTGTTTGTCTGAAATGAATGTGATTGACAGAATTATATTTTTTCTCAGTGTAATTTTAGTTTCGTGATGTTTAAGAATATTTAGTCAATATCGGTAAATGTGTTTTTTTTATGGTCAAAGAAAATTCTGTAATTTTTTCGGCTGAAATTATTTATCACAAAATTTGACACTCACGCTAATTTTCGTATTAAGCATAGAATTTTTATTTATTTTTTTCTAATTTTTCAAGATTTTTTTCACATTTTAATCTTTTTCGGAATTCGAATAGCTGATTTTCTCATAAGACTCTGTGTTATTTTGGCATTCATTAATTAATTATCATCAATAATACTTGACTAAGAATTGAGCGCTAACTTAACCAGAATGCTCCTATTCTTATTAAAGATGTTTAACCAGTGTCGGTAAATGGTCGGTACTTGTGTTTTTTTTCATGGTTAGAGAAAATTTTATAATTTTTTCGGCTGACAGCAGGACATATAAAACTAATTTTTCAAACGTTAAAAAAAATCAATCGCAATAGTCTCGGCAGAAATGAATAAATTAATTTTTCCTTACACACGGGCTCTTACGAAATTCATGTTCAAATCGATAATTCACCTAGAAGACTCTAAAAATAGAAAGTAATGTGTGAAATCATACTGAATCCAATGGCCAGAGAAAAATCTGAGGTACCCGGACAAAAAGAGGAAATATTTGAATGATTCTATCCCATATAAGCGCATGTTAGTACATGCATTTGGTGCATTTTGTCTACTTCATTTCTAAATAATGAATATGGATGGAAATTTGTATCGAAGTGAAGGGAATATCTTCATGTCTCAGTTTTAAAAAAATCATTTTTTTCCAAGTACTTGCCATTTTGGATAAACATCCTTAAAAATTCTTCAATTCCTTCGCGAAAATCGAAGATTACTATTTTCATGATTATTTATTCACAAAACGTGTGCTGTTGTAGACCACGTGCATATGCGTGTGATTAGATAACGTTTGAGGCCAATCATATGAATGCGTGAAGTTTGATATGCTTCTAATGAATAAATTCATGGAATGAGGTACATTGAGGTAAACATGAATTTATAAGAAAGCGGATAGTGATTAATCACGTGGTTATAATGCTCTGATTTAAAGCTGTTGAAAACTATTTGATCAATGAGTTGAATAAACTCTTCAAATTATTGATCTTCCTGCATTCGGTTCCACTTTAACTAGTGCTTAATATTGTGCCCCAGGACAGCGATAGAATCTCTCTTATATCGAATGGTAATTAGCCATGTCTCCAAAAATTGATAACAATACCCTTTTGATTCAACGCGGAGAGAATTAAATAGTGAATATCACCATGCCCATAGGAGAGATTGCTATGGTAAGATAGTAAAGGGGTAGTTAATGGGCATTACCGTGTCACATGGTAATGCTTACTATGTCCGATGGTAATGGTTACCATGTGAATTGAAAAGGGTCCTATGAAAAAAGAAAGTATATAAAAAATAACCGGTTAAAATTCGCGACTTCCTGTTGATGCGTTCATAAACTCAAGACGCTCAAGGCTTAAGCTCTTTAAAAAAAAATTAAACGAATGAAGCTCTTTATTGAAAATTTTTCTATTAAATTCTACAATATTTTTGTTCGGAATTTATGTATTTATTCAAATAACAAAGCTTCGATTATATGGAATAAAAACAGCATTCATTAGAAGTAGATAATCAATTAGAAATGAACAAACAATTTATTTCATTCAAAGAGAGAATTATTACACATCAATAAGTTCTTTTCCTTCGCCATCTAAACAATGATTCTATGTCTAACTAATAGAGTCTTCACGTGTATGAAGAACGCATTTGTTTAAATTTGTAAAATTATTCATTTGATATGAATCAAAATGCAACTGGAAATTTAATTTAGGTTTTAATGGGCTTTATTAGGACATCTCTGAATATAGTATATTCCGTTACGAGTGCGGAAATGAGTTTTTTGGCTCGTGGGAGGTTTATAGCACGAGCCGAAGGCGAGTGATATAACCCCACGAGTATCGAACGATATTTTTCATCACAATGTGTGGAAAAGGGACGTTTTAGGCACGCAAAGCTATACTTTTTCGCACAGCGTGATGAAAAATCTATTATTTCATTCAAAAACATCATTTCTCTTACAATAAGAAAATTCTCGTTCTTGAAGTAATGATATTTCTGTGTCTAACATTGATCTACTCATGTGTCATTCAATTATTTAGAATAATCTCATTATGTGTCATAGAACATTTTACGTAATATAGGAGCAAAATTTTTATGACATTTCAATTGACGATAGTTCTATGACATGAAAAATAGAAGAGAATATTGAAAGAAGAATTTAAATAAGGAGAGAAGCCATTGGAAAGCAAATTGCTAATTTATGAGCAACAATAACTATACTCGTTTACAAAAAAATGCCATAATCCACTTGTTCTTGTTATGAAATAGGATTCACGACATAATTGGTTGGGGTGAAATCTCTAGACATGCTTCTAATGAATAAATTCATGGAATGAAGAACATTGAGGTGAAACACGAATTTATAAGAAAGTGCATATGAATTAATCACGTGATTATAATTC